TACTACAATCATTTCTTGAGTCACCGATGGTGTAAAAATATTTTTTGTGTCAAAAATGGTTATTTAAACAACAAAGCCAGTCAAGGACAATGACATTTTTGTGTAGTGTTTTTTTTTTTGTTTTTTTTTTTGCTTCAGTGAACTTTTGCCAAGCTTGAATGTTGTTGGTAAAACATGTTGCCAGTCAAGTCACTGACGGTGTGGTAGGTCACTGGCCTGACTACAGCGCTGGAAGTGTGGATTTAGTTCCCAATCAGTAATGGTGTGGAATGTGAGTGTGCCAGGTTGTCTGTTACTGTATGTTCCCTTTGATTATTGGCTAGGATGGGGTCCAGCTCCTGCAACCTTGAACGCGAAAAGATGTACAGTCAAGAAAATGGATGGCTGGATGCTTTTTGGATAGAAAAAACTGCGAACAATGGCGGCAGTGTTTCCACATGGAAATCTGACGTGACTGTTCAAAAGTGAAATTATTAAAAGATAAAAAAGTGAGTTTTCCTCACCAGATAGCAGAGGCCAGCAGGATATGGCTGTTGTGTTGGAAATAGTCAACAGGGCTCCCTCCCAGCATGATGTCGGCCAGAATGTAGCTCCCAAAGCAGTAGAGCATGGCACAGAGCCACGAGGCCACAGGACTCTTGCGAGAAACCTCCACTGAGCCTGCACAACACAGAGACCGAGCATGTCAGGAATCATATCTTGAGAAATAAAAGAGATTGATATCCTTAATTTATTTATTTTTTTTTAAAATTCTGGACGCATTGTCTTTGTAATAAGCTGGTGCCTCAAATTTAAACTTCAGTTGCTAAAGATGCTAACTAACCCAACTCAACGACTATCATGGAGGGGTTGTCTTTTCAATATAAAAACTGGATGATAATTGTTGCCTTGACATTGCTCAGTTCTGAGTGACACTGAGTTCATAAAAAATACAACAAATGAATGAAGAAAGTTGTCAAAATATTAGAAACACTTCTCAGTGTGATGCAGTGGAGTGCAAATTACAACCACCTCAGCATTGTTTGTATTGAAGCTCATTTAATTGGCATTGAGGCTGGTGAATTTATTTGGCATAAACAATTCCAATGTATATTCTGTTTGATCCAGTGGTGTAAATGATGTAAAAATTAATGAATGAAAAACTCGGCAACACACATTTTTAAACATAGGCGGTATTGTGTTTGGCAAAGAAAAAAAATTGAATTCGGATACTAGGTCTGTTTTTTAAAAGAAGTTAAATGATTTTTTCCTTTCAGAAGACTCCAATGGATCGATTGTATTTTAATGTAAACATGCTGCAGTTGGACTTGCTTATTTCATTGCTTGTATTTGCGGGGGCTTGAGGTGCAGTATTTTTCTTTTTTTTAATTGAGATTAATTGGACCTCAGATTATCTGCTCTATACACATGTAATTAATTTAATTAAATTATTGGAAAATAATGAATAAAAAAAGGAAGAACAATAAAATGGGCAAAAAAAAAAGTATTCTTTTTGCTCATTTTTGGTGCCTGGTGTTTCTGTTAGTTCTCATGACTTAAAATATTATGCAGTGACCTTCAAAAGTTATCGGTGCAAGCCGCGTGTGTCTATGTGCTGTATCTGTGTCCACGCCCACACCAGGATCAAGTGTACGCCCCTGATAGGAGGCTTTTATCATAACTCATTTGTGGGTTGACTGTTTAACAGATCAACAGTGCAATACATGTTTCAAATGCACATTGGGAAGAAAAGGCAATGTGATTCAAATGTTGCCAGTTAATGATGTTCTGAAGAATTGCTGACAAGTATATTGACACGGAAATGGATCAATTGATTGCTTCTACTGTACATAGAGAGTGTCTTGCAAAAACAGGATAATTTAATAGATTGTATGGTTGTAAAATTACTTGGGAGTAGATTACACACACACACACACACACACACACACACACACACACACACACACACACACACACACAAAGGTAATTAAGCGGTGAGCAGAGTGCTTCTCATAAATGTCCAACAACAGGTGTACGACGGTGTCGTGGTGCTCATTTTGAAAGCAATCTGATGCTGAGAAATGCCATACTAAGAATAGATTTTTCTACGCTTCGTCTTCCTCCGCCTTGTATGTGTCGGCCCTACCTTAAACCCTTCACCCCAACACTTGTCTCTCCTACTCCCACAGCAATGTTGACCCCCTTGATGTCTTACAGTGTGCACTACAAAGAAGCTGCGCTCATGTTGAAAAAAAATTTTTTTTAAAAATGCAAATAAACGCAGCACTGGTAATTTGACTGTCAAACTTTCTCCAAAGTAAACAGACATGAACAGCACTGTTTATGGAACCCTTAACTCTGATATCACTGCATGTCTGCATACGTGTGACCTGCTTTTATGTGTGACGCACAACGCGAAAATATATGAGAGTATAAGTTGAATTTCATTGTGATGCATTTTAAACCCATTTCAAATGTACTGGATTATTTGGAGGCAACTTTATGGCCAAGTGGTTCTATAGTTTTGAATCTGGTTTTCCTGTGTGGAGTTCGCAAGATCTCCCTGTAATAATTTTTTTCTTCTGGTACTCCAGCTTGTTCCCACGTTGAAAGAAAAAAAATATGTTAAGTATAAGACTCTACTATGTGTGCCCTGATTGGCTGGCCCAGAGTCATCTGGGATCGGCTCCAGTTCAGTCAGGGAAAATGGATGAATGGATCACAGCCTGACTTCCATCATGACACTTTAATAGTGTGATGAATCAGGGCAGAGCATATGCAGACTGGTAGGATGACTATTAATTGTTTGAACATGCAATAAGTGATGGTAACAATCAACAAACTCCAAAGTGTTCATATTAAAATACAAAAAAAAAAAGATCCATCCAGTGATCCACTGAGGTTAAAAGCAATGAGAAACTAAGAGGCCACTTTTCCTTCAGTACAAAGAGTAGTAAATTGTTCCATGTTTAACAGTCAGTCCACATAGCACACAGTTAATCCTGAAGCCTACAAGCACCCTGGGGCCCACTGACATCTATTTCAGGGTCTTCTATTTTTTACCCAAGTTTCTGGCATGCAGAGGCCTTCTCTCACATTTCATCCACCTAAGGCTCTGCTGCTCAAAGGACTTAAAACTTGGACAATGTCAATAGCCTAAGTGCTTTAATTCGGTTCAGTGATTTCCTCTGTGTATGTGAATGGGGTCCGACTTTCCTTCAGACAGAAGCAAGCTGAGGTTTTACAGCTGCACACTTTATGTAACAGGTCAAGCTCTTTATGGAAAAGAGGCACTCGCCATATAAAATCATCAGAAAGTCCTTGTAAGGATATTGGAACAGTGTGGTTGTGACAGATTAACTTTTAAAACAAACACTCATTCATCTGCATTTTTAATTTCTGATAGGATAGCAAAACCAACGTTTCAGTAAAAAATAAAATAAAAAAAAAGAAAGAAACACTTGTGTTAATTGTAGTCATACAATTCTCTTATTTAGAAAATCACAGCTAATCCATATGTGTGAGTTCTATTTGTGATGAATGGAAAAGTGAATAAAACAAGCCATCCCTTCATAAATTTAAAAAAAGTGTTCTTCTGACTCACCTGGCTCATATTTGAGGTAGAGGATGGACACGATGTAATAAGCCACATCAAACACAGGAAACATTCCCATTTTGGAGAAAGCTTGAGCTAAATCTCCCAAATTGAGGACAGCCAGCACATCCATGTTGTTATGAAGGCGATTCCTCGCTCTTAATAATGTCCAACTGCGTAGTCAGGATCGGAAGACCCCCCTCCCCACAACCCGGTCCACGGACTCTCCACCAAGCCCCCGCAGGCCTCGACAGTGAAAGGCTGAGACACTCAAGCCTTCCTATTAATACCACTCATCCCCGGGTCGTCATCATCATCATCATCAACAACAACAACAGCATCACCATCTTCATCCTCATCATAGCATGTGCGCGGAGCCAGCTGCTCCGATTTTTTAGGCGGCAGGTTTGCACAGCAGCTGCTTCAAAAACGGCTCCTGACGTCTTCAGCACCCTATATTATATTGGGGGAGGGGGGCGGTGGAGAAACACATTCACATCGAACCGCCAGTGAGACGGATTTTTTAAAATATTAAATACATAGCGTGTCTCTAATCCCAAAACAGATCTACACATGTACTGATATCATCGGATGCTCATACGCCCCCGCGTGACAAAACATAGACGATACATGTTATCAATGTCAACAAACGGAATTACTCGATAAACAACCGTGGTCATTTGTTAACACTAGATGGCGGTACAACACCAAATGGAAAGGAAATGTCACGGGCACAAAATATTTCTATGAAAAAAGACTTAAATGTCATCAGAAGTGGTGTCAAAAGTATACTGACAATCATTATTTAAGTAGGAGTGCAGATACTCTGTTAAAAGTATAGAAGTACAGAAGTACTCATTCAACTTGAGGAAAAGGAAAAAGTACAGAATTTGAAATGTGTAAATACAAAAGTAGAAAGTAAAAGTGACATTTTACTTTCAATTATGATGGCGACGTTCTGACAATTTTGCACGAACCACAAAAAATGCTGACGATCATTCATTATGATTAGTGGAAAATAGCATTGTTATTTCAAAAATGAGATGAATCTTAATTTACTGGATCCGAATAAATTGTAGAAACACTCACCATTTTATACTCGATTTTACATTTGGTGCGAGTCAAAATAAATATGCTTGACTTAAAAGCTGTCATACAAAAATAAATGGTTGACTGTCGCCTTTAAGGTCAACATTTACTTTTCATATTTGACAGGGCTGACGCCCTGCTTCATATCATGTTACAAAATACACTCCTAAAATGAGTGTTCAGTCATCGGGAGTTTTTTCACCTCTTTAAAAACTAATTTCAAATACACAAATGCTTTCCTTTTACTGGTGTCCTTTATATGTATTATGATAAAAAATAATTCATCCCGGTTAAAATTGACGAGCAGGTCTGTACCTGGGAAACAAAAGTGAGGGCAAAAATAACCTCTCGTATCCTATTAGTCACATTTCATGGTGCGAATACGGAAGTGAAGTGTTAGCTTTAAATGTTGACACGATGATCGGAGATCTCCTGCTATTTGGGTAATGTAATTAAATAAATCAAATGTGCACGTTTAACATTTAGATGCCATATATGTGCCTAATAGTTGCTTTTTGTGTACGTGGGGATCAAACTGTCCGAAGTGTCGCTAACTAGCTCCGTGCTCATGCCACCTCACAAGCTATCTGGTGCGAATGCAACACTTCGAAATAACAGTTCCTCTTATCCGTTTCCAGGACCTTGTTGATCAATGCAGGGGCTGTCCTGAATTTCAAGCTGTGAGTACAATACTAAAAGTAGTCGTATTTTATTGTAAGGCAGACGCCATTGCTGTAAATTAATGTGCACGTTGATCAGTGTGCGGTGAACTCTGTTGTAGCAAAAGGAAAGAATCCCATGGATTTGGAGATGAGTCCAGAGGTCCAACGACAGGTGTGTATAAAAGAATCAGAAATTTAAAGCGTGGGTGTGTTTTATTGTTTTTGTGTCAATATATCTTATGCAGGTGACAACATTCGCGAGTTCCTCCTCAGCCTGCGATACTTTCGCATCTTCATTGCACTGTGGAACATCTTCATTATGTTCTGCATGATTCTGTGAGTAAGACTAGCAATGCATAATACCCACTGTAGTTTCATTTCCACACTGGTGCACTCTTTTAACCAAATGGAATTTCGCAGAAATATATTTTTTGTAATGTTTTGTTTTGATGTGCCCAATCATCCTCTCACAGTTAAGTCAAATCATTCTGCAAAGTGAATAAATGATTTGACTCCCCGTTATGATAAACCACCCGTACACCACGTGACTTGTATCCTATTGACAAGTTCATTTGCAAAAGAAACACTCAATGCAATAGCCAACATCTATACACATATAACACAAAGTGCCGTCATCTTCAATCTCGATTTTTTTTATTTAACAGTACCGGTATATTAAATCTTAGAAGTGCATTTTTAAGACAGCGTCTTCTTGTTTTCAATCCTACCATACTCTGTGGCTTAATACAGTTGTAGAGAGAAGTCATGAAAAAGGAATCTGAACTTGTTTTGCTCTTTGTCTAAAAATTACGTTTTATATTCACAGATTGTTTGGATCATGAACAACGGTGGCTCTAGCTGGACTACGACCAGGCGACTGATTTTTCAAGACGTGTGCTCAAAATCCCTTCATATTCTGTTTTTGGGGCGGGGGTTGTTTATTTTATCTTTTAATTGTTCCTTTCCTTCTTAACCCCCACTCAGCTGCACTCCTCTACAGAAATGTTTAGACTGCTGTATTTATTTCATCCCACCTATCCAGAGGTTTGACATTTATGGGCTTCAAAGGTGTGAGATGTTATTCTTGTCCCATCATTGCATAAAATGAATGGACCATCTTCTTTCTGTTTAGTTATTTTTAAAGTTGGAAAATTGAAAACCAACACAATAGTTTTCCTCTGCATTTTCTCTCTCTTGTCCCAACAAAATTACATCAGAATTTGTATCACCAGTTCTTAGTTGTATGCCTCAATCTTCCATTTTCCTGAAACTTAATTTTGAAATGCCCGTTCTTGTACTGGATGCCAGGACTTGATTTAGATGCATTATATTTCTGTATTTCTACATTATATTTCTGTCCACAATCTCTCATTTGATTGTTTATCATGATTTGATGAACATCAAGGCTTTAGACGAGGGGTCTCAAACTTCGGTTTTCAAGGGCAGCTTTCCTGCAAGTTTTAAATGTTTTTCTCCTCCAACACACCTGATTCAAATGGTCAGCTCGTCAGCAAGTTCTGCAAAAGCCTAAGAAGTTATCAGGCTCCTGTAGAGCTTGTTATCAGTGAGAACGATCTTGATTCACATTTCGTGAATACTGTAGTCCTAAAACCTCTAGGAAAAACGATTACCAGTATGCATGTGATGCTGCATTCGCGGAAGGTAGGAAATCGGACTTTTCCGACTTCCGATTCGAAAAAATGCACGAGAACGCCCCTTTGCACTGGGGGCGAAATCGGGAAAAAAAAAGGACCCCGAGTTCACCGACAGACTTCAATGTGACGTCACTGGACAATGGCGATTGATTGAAGACAGACCGTGAATGGCGAAGCACAATTATAAGGATTATAACATAAATTTACCTTTATTTCCTTATCATGATATGAATGTGGTTATTCAAAAATACTTCGTGCCGCCAGTGCAAATCACATTGTGCTACGTTAAGATGCCGTTATCTCCTTGCATGAAGTTATTTGGTGAAATGAATGAAATGCTTCTAAGATGTACTATTCCTTCATTTATAAAAAGTAAGGAAATTCGGAAGGTTTGCCTGAGTGTAATATGTCTTGTGATAAACCAAAACAACAAACAGTGTATAGGAATCAGCCATTTTTGTTTACATACGCTTGCCACGCATTGAGGTCGGATCTGGGGCATTACTAGTGTGATATTTCCGACTTCCAAATTTCCTCGAATGTACCATAAATGCATGCATGGCGTGGTTTGGTGTGACGACACCCACCTATGACGCGTTTTACGAGATTTTCCCATCATGCTCCTTGCAAGTCTCCATGTCCGCCTCAGCAGCTTCCGTGGCGCAGCAATCACGCCGCCGCTGACGCGTCACTGGACTCCGCAGTTAAAGATGGCTGCGATGGAGCGGGCTCAAGTCAGGGAAGGGTTCCGGATATTTGTTCTTTGCCTGTGCTGGTACACGGTCAGCTCGGGCGGCAACATCATCAACAAGATAATCCTCAATGGATTCCCGTACCCGGTCACGGTGTCTCTCTTTCACATTTTTTCTATTGTCACCTTCCTCCCGCCGTTGTTGCGGGCATGGGGAGTCCCCAAAACAGAACTCCCCAAGAGGTACTACTGGTGGACCATTCTGCCTTTAGCTTTCGGAAAATACTTCGCATCGGTTTCGGCCCACTTCAGCATATGGAAGGTCCCCGTTTCATATGCGCACACTGGTAAGTACACATTTCGGGAAGTGCTTGTGTCTGTCTAGTGACTACTCTACTTGAATAGCATCAGCTGATGTTAGCTCCTTCGACTAACAGGGGACTCTGATGTTAGCTCCTTCGACTAACAGGGGACGATGTTAAACTTAGATGTGGGCCTTGTTTGAGTCGGTCTGCTTGTTGTAGACAGTCTTGGGTACTTTTGATGATGCTAGCCTGCGTGCTACAACCACGCAGGCTTAAAAATTTTAAATTCGCTAGATTTTGTTTCCCAGCATCCCAGCAACACGAGTGCAAGTTAGCTAATGAGCGTAATCACCATTGAGCTGAACGTGGTCAAGCTCTCATCATCGTATTTACCTCCATATTATGGGAGCAAAGATTGTATGCTTCTAAAGACGAGCCGATGATTTTCTTTCCCAATAGAATAAAACAAAGACAACCAAAAAAAAAATCACAACATCGGCACAGTCCAGCTGTGCCGATGTTGTGATTTAAAGGTACACACGTTTTAACGTACCGTAATCAATTCATCACAATGGACGGCTGTAATACAATCACAGAACAGTACTTCACTCAGAAGAATGTACTTTAGTTTGGCTGGTGGTGCCATGTTTATTAGTCATAGCTTAATCTTGTGTGTGTGTGTGTGTGTGTGTGTGTGTGTGAGTGAACAAATAAAGTGTCGTGAAAATCAGTTGCAAAATGAGCAAATTATGGCTTCTTATTAAAGCAAATGCCTTGAAGAATATGCTGCCTACCATCAGTTTTACTGATCTGGGCTGCAACTGCAAGTCATAAAACCTTTGTTGATAGCCTTTAGTTTTGTAACAAGTTAAAAGCTTACCCATAGTTTCCAATCAGAACATCTGGAGGCCTTTGGTGGTCGCAAATAGTTTTAAATTAGATGGGGGTCGCGGTCTGGGCATGTACAAAACCTTCGGCTTAAATTTATGTTGTAATTTTCATATTTAATTCTCATATTTCATTTTTTAATTGAGGCTATTTCCAGCTCAGGCGAGTGCTATGTCATGATGTCAGATGTTTTTTCCTTTGGTGGACACATGGTGTCCGTCACGCATCGAAACATAATTGTGGAGGCGGCGGAGGGACATAACCATAGTGGGGGTGTTGGGGCGAACGGCAGCCACCATGCACTAAAATCTTATCGTCGACAGCCGCTGAAATGGACCGGCTATTTGGGACTCTCACGAAATTTCCAATGGCCACCACGCCTCTGCAATTTAAATATATGTTTTACTCACATAAGATCCCTACAGCGTGGGGAAGCAGTTATATTTTAAAATTTGAATTGCTGTTTATATTGTGAAGGATTGTCTGTGTGTCATTTTCACAACTTCCTGGTCACCTTTTCCTAATTTTTTGTCTCCATTGCAGTCAAAGCCACAATGCCAATTTGGGTTGTGCTCTTGTCAAGACTCATCATGAGGGAGAAGCAAACCACCAAGGTGAGTAGCCGGAGTGCAACCAGCCTGCTCTAATCTAACCCTGTGCTGTTTCTGCAGCGGTGACATTGCATGGTGTGCAACTGCACCGCAGCTCATTTCACATCACAGCCATGCCACATTAGCTTGTCAGGGTTGGGCGTTGAAGGTCAGGTGTGGAGTTTTTTTTTTTTTTTTTAGTTCCTCTTTTGATCGTTGCAAAAGAAACTACTGGGGTTAATACTAATACTGCAAATTACTTTTGTCTTGATAGTTGTCTGTGCTGCAAGCTTAGGAAGCATGATTTCCTGTCTGACAAATTGCCATCTAATGTGATGTGGTTATAGAAACAAAATTAGTCATTGACATAATTAACATGTCCTCGGGGAAATGTCAGATGGTTTTTACCAGACAAAACTTTTAAAGTGGCTTTTTGAATATTGATGCAGTTTCTTGGATTCCACGATGCAACCCAATTCAAAACCAATATGTGATTGACTACATGAAATAACTGCTTGTAGGCATGCATCCTTTTGCCTCACACTGTCTATCCAAATACAGACTGAATTCTTTCTTTTGGAACAAGGGTGGATGAATGTACTTGGTTGTTGCATCTTACATCCGTGTGTCATGTTTACTTTGGAGACTAGTGTTTACACAGACTGGGAATGTAGCTGAATATGACATGTTTGTCCACAGGTCCTATTGGACTGGGGCGAGAAACTTCCAAGCAATAGTTGGAAATGAAATGACTAGCTAGCTAATACAAGTACTTTATCACTACGATACAGCCCTTAGTCATGTTGCTTGTTACACTGTATCGTCCTTCTAAGTATGGTCATGTAAAGCAGAAGTCGAGCCAAAAAGTTCTTGCAGTAATATGATCAGTGTGCCCTCACTAGTCTAAACACAGTATCGTTAATATTGCATTTGTGGAAGAAGAATTAAGCTTAAGCAGAATAGTCCACTCGGTTTTTTTATCCATCTCAGGGGGCTGCCAATTTGTCCTATACTGCCACCTGCTGTCGACTGAAGTTAACGTCAAAGTAACCGCGAGCTCAGCTTGCTCTCATCACTGCTCACCTGTATTCTGGGTTTGGTCACATGATGTTCACAATGCAAGCCCTTGGGCACTTTGACGTCAATTTCAGTTGACAGCAGGTGGCAGTACGGTGCAAAATGCCAGCCCCCGGAGATGAGTGAAAACGGGTAGATTTTTCAGCATAATTCTTACCTCACAAACGCAGTATTAATCAGAATAACTTCTTTGGATTAGTGACGTCGGGTACATTATTGTAAAGAAAGAATGTGACTTGACTTCCACCTTAAAGGAGGGCCTTTTTTTTCCCCCACATTATTATCCCACAAACGCAGTATTAATCAGAATAACTTAGTTGGATTAGTGACGGCGGGTACATTATTGCAAAGAAAGAATGTGACTTCACTTCCACCTTAAAGGAGGGCCGCCCCCCCCCCCCATTAAAAAAAACGTTAATTCTTGCAGGCAATTGGGAGGATGTCCCCTTCCTATGGGGGCGGGGGGGACTTAAGCCCAATTTGTACATATGTAAAATGGAACGCGTTGCTGTAGTCAATCATGAACCTACACTAACGAAGTTGGAAAGTCAAAATTACAGACCAATATTTGGGATAGGAAAACACTTTGAGGCCATAAATACAATGCAATCAAATAAATGACCTTAAGACATAATGACAGCACTCTCTTTGAACCTTGGCTGCCAACCAGTTAATTGTAGTTACTTATTGGCATGTGCAAGCTATAATGACGAGTCCACGCAGCTATGTAGTTCGTGGCTACATCTGTCATTTCTCTCATCTACAAACGACACAATTGATTAATGACCTTGTGAAATGCAACCAGGTGGGAACAAACTTGCTTCTCAGCATATAATTTACATTCGGGAAGTTTCTTACCTCAAATTAGGTCGTTTGGGCGTGTCACATTTGTTAACCTGCCTGTCGCTCTGTCAACACTTACGCCGGCTCTCTTATTGAGGATGCCGGCTCATAATGTGCACACACTATTCTTTATTAAAAGCAAATTGTGCTAGTTAAATTAGATGACTGGGAACCCGGGAAAGTACACGCCCAGACCTGGATTTTTATTTTATTGCATTCAAGCCATTCCTTATGGGAAGCCTCAATGCCTCGACTGCGCCAAGAAATTCTGTCCATCAAATTTATGAACAGAATCGGCGACAAAGGGTGGAGTCCAACCCTCACTGGGAATGAATCCGAATTACCGGTACTGCCAGCAATGCGAACCAAACTCTGGCATTGGTGGACTGAACAGTCCGAAATAGGGGGTTCGGTACCCCATACCTCCAAGTCCACTAGACTGGTTGGGCGAACTCCCATGCACCCTCGAGGACCCTGCCAAGGGTGTAGAGCTGGTCCATTTCATCCATGGTACATATGAAATTGTAAATATAGTAAAGTGTTTTTTTTTGGAAGCACAATATACTGTATGTGTACTGTCTGTATTTATTGTATGTTGGGCTAGACGACGGGCAGCCAGCCGTGTCTCGCCGGCTGAATCCGAGAAATGGATTTTTCGTCTATATGTGAAAGCTTCTGTGTGTTTGAGACCTTGATTCTGTCCCAAATCCTCCCACTTTTTTTGCTGGGTGCTTGTTGTGATGGAAAAGCTACGGAGGCTGTGTAATCTGGTGCCGAGCCAACCTGGGTTGTGTGGAGTGGAAATGGAAAATGACTTGTCAAAATGACCTTGGCCAATTTATATTACCGTTCCAACTCACTCAATGGTTTTCTTGATCAAATAGCTCAACTCTGTTTTATTGTTTGTATCTTGTATGATCTGTGTGCGGTCCGCACGGAAGGTGTACGTATCTCTGATCCCCATTATTGGCGGAGTGCTGCTGGCAACGGCGACAGAGTTGTCCTTCGACGTTTCGGGCCTGATCAGCGCTCTGGCCGCCACGCTTTGCTTCTCTCTGCAGAATATCTTCTCCAAAAAGGTATGCACTGAAATTGTTGACACATGTATAGTTTGTGACGTAACTGTTGCATTGAAGATAAACGTGTGTTTTCCCCTCAAAATTTCCACCAGGCTGCTTGATTTTTAGGAATTAGAAACAGACATCTGAAGCATTTCCTTTCTCACAGTTGCTGCCTCAGACGTAGTTTGGAATGAGGTTCATTAATGTCGCCTAAGACCTGACGTGCAAACAAAAGCTGTCCAGGCTCATGCCCCGGGAGAGAATGTTTTAAATATTCTTTTTCTCTTACAGGTGTTGCGTGACACACACATCCACCACCTGCGGCTTCTCAACATTTTGGGCTTCAATGCTGTAATATTCATGCTGCCCACCTGGGTGCTGATTGACCTTTCCATCTTTCTCGTGAATGATGATCTGGTGCGTGGTAACTCCTTTTTCTGCTGCTTTTGACTTGATCGTCTGACCCTGAACACCGTCTGAATGTCACATGCTGTCACTCGCAGTGGGACATGTCGGGATGGACAAGAACCGTCATTCTGCTGCTCATCAGCGGTTTCTGCAACTTCGCTCAGAACGTCATCGCCTTCAGCGTGCTCAGTCTGGTCAGCCCGCTCAGCTACGCCGTGGCAAATGCGACCAAGAGGATCATGGTCATCAGCATCTCGCTTTTCATGCTGCGCAACCCTGTCACGCTCACCAATGTGCTGGGCATGATGACAGCCATCGTCGGGGTCTTCCTCTATAATAAGGTGAGTCACCTGACAGATAGCCATGACTTTGGACGCTACATTCTTTATCCCTGCCTCACTAATTTCAAGCCACTTCCTTGGCTACATTACACGCTGTTTGTACAAAAATAACACGTTAAAGAGGCATAACAGTCACACGTCTTACTTTTAATGGCAACAACGCATGATAAGAAAGCCTCCTATGATTACAATTGCTGTCTTAGTGTCAGTTGGCTAAGTAGTGCACCAGAAGTAGTGTTAATAGATTTCAAAGTAAAAGCATAACAGGAAGTGTAGTGTTAGCCCCCTTAATCTTGCTAGTTTAACAGCGTTTGTCAAATGTGCCTTGTTTAGTGCATGCCTACTTGCTCACTGGTCCTCCCCCCTCCCCCTTAAGTTGAACTCTTGATGTTCACAAACTTGTTCAAATAAACAACTGATCGTGATCTTGTAAACGCATTCAATTATAAGTTGTATTTTTCATCAAATGAAATAAGAAGGGCTATTTTATATTGTTGAACGAGAGTAAAATTGTATCTCCATGAAAATGTGAACAAATGTGGGCCAGTCTGAGCCCTGAAAGTCCAGGACTGAAAATGATGCTGTCAGCGCTCAATCATTGCTCGTATTTTTTGTATATTGAATAATTCACGGAACTAAATAATGTGTGTAGATTTGATTAAAACATGAACAGTTAACGTTTCATAATGGAGCTCATCGAAAATTCACACACCATACTGCGCTGACTTTCGGGGACCACACCGCCCTCCCAAACCAAGAGTTCCCGGTGTAGCATTGCTCAATGGTTGAAAACAGATGATGATAAGCTGATGTAATTTGCCCCACTACTAGTCTACTAGTACACATGTGATGGTCCGTGCGGCTCTCAGTGAGCTGAAAACAATGGAATTTGATAGACAAAATATTTTGGAAGCAATTATGTCGTTGCACCAACCTCACTGGTCATGTAAAGATGGCCAATTAGATATTCAAACTTCAGCCTTTTAGTCCATTCTTTTCTGTTTTGTGTTTTTTGATCTGAGCATAAAATTGAAATGGGATAAAGCTTGCATTCGATTGCCAGTAGTAAATGGAAAAAGCGAATGACACACAGATGAAGGACACGTGTAATCATTCCAACTCTGTCCCCAATAGGCCAAGTATGACGCCAACCAAGAGAAGAAACTCCTGCCAAGCAGCAAGCAAGATCTGGTGTCCTTTGACAACCCGGCGTTCCAAAAGCATCAGGCCAACGGGTCAGTGCCTTTCTCCCATGGTTCACTCCAGCAGGAGCAGCAGCACAGTTGGAATAACGTGCTGACCGACCACTTCCAGTACAGTCGCCAAACCTACACGACAAACTCCAACAGCAACCATCAGTATGTGGTATAAAAAAAGGGAAGCCGTCCTTGCTCCGGCAGGCTCTCACAGACATTAGTGTGCATGTGGAGGAGCCGCCGCCGCCGCAGCAGCAGCAAAAATTCTCCTCCGGTGCACTCCACACATGAGACTGTGTTGCACACAGGAAGAGCAAGACGTCTTTGTCATAGAAAGGCCAGCGACTTGACCTCTCCCATGCTCCCCCATGTCGAAACCTTGCTGTGTTTTCCAGTCTGTTGCTTTGGTCCTGACTGTTTGAGTGGCTGGGCATGCAACAACACTCATATCAGATATTTGCAGATGGTTACACAACACGGATTTTGAATTGTTCATTTTCCAAGGGAGCGATGTCATTTCCAACTGGGACCTCACACGCAACGTCTGTCACGTTACTTTTGGTAACAAACAAAAACAGAGTGGGAAGCCTTAATATTTTTGTTGTAGGCATTTAGTTTTCTGGTGTCTTGGAAAGAGGAGGAACAAACTGTTGCAAGACAACACTTTCAAAGCTTCTTGTTTTGAGATTTTTTTTTTTTTTTTATAAATAAATGGATGTGTATAAAATATTAGCACATGAAGTTGAGCCAACTGCATCAGACACACACACACTCACACACAGAGCTATCATGTCCTATCAGAATTAAGTGCGAGACGAGTTCTCATCCCCAGAACGGTTAGTGACCACTCTTTTCTTATAATACACCAACTCATGGCATCTGTCATCATTGGTTAGACATGTTTGGGGGGAAAAAAAAGAAAGCAATTTAGGTTTATAAAACAAAGCTTCCTTGTAAAATATGCCAATAGCTGCAACCTACAAGGATATACTTTTGTCCCCTATTTCCAAAGGTCATCGCTGTGTTAGAAGTGAGACCGAGGAAAAAGGAAATGAATCAGTCCATTGAGAATATTCAAATTACTCATTGATATTTATTCATCATCAATGCTTCTCAGGCAGAGGGGGATATCCTCTGTCTTATCAGGCCAAGTGTCAGCCTGAACCAAAGTTGCTTCGTCATGTTTCTTATTTTTTTCTCTCTCTCTTCTCTTCAAGCAGTCTCATTTGCACACATTGAAAGAACAAAATGTTGAGTCGAGTGAGTCAAAGGTGTAATGTCCCGTCTTTAATAGTCACTGGATAGACCTGGAAAGGGATCAGAGGTTTGGTTTGTGCAATAAACAACTGAACTGCCAACCACGGATGACATTATACTCAATTACAGTGTCACTCCATCTACTGATCGAGCATTGCGTATTTATTTATTTGAAATCATTTGGATGCAGCAATATCAAGTGTGCTCCAAGTTTTTCTACTGTATTTTCTAATGCAAGTGTATCAACGTTTGAAGTGAATTTATTTAGACTGCGTGCACATTGGTTCTTACCAAATATGATTGGCTGTAGTGCTTGTTGTTCTCGTCCGTTGATTCCTGCCTGCCACGGTGTAGGGCTTACGTGTCTGCAAAACCTTTAACAGTCCACTCAAGATATCTGAATGTCGCCGTTTGAAGTTTTTTCCCCGATTTCTCTCCTACGTCTTTGGATCGGCTTTTCCTGATTTAAAATGAGGAATACGTGACTAATTTGACTCATGCGTAGCAGGAAGACAAGCAGGCTGATTTAAAAGCAGCTTTGAAAGTGACAAATGTTGCAAGGAAAAAAATAAATGGAACTTTGCATTCATTTTGCATTGGTGTTGATGTGTAAATGAAAATCGTCAGAATGTTTTGTTTTGGCTCTCGGATCCTGCAGGTGTACCTGCACCTGTGGCCAGAGTGTGTGAGTCATGTTTGCATTAAACAGGAAGTAATCATGAGGAAAACCACAGCCAATCATAAATTGAATTTAAAAAAAAATCCCCAAAGTAAAATGGCTATTGAGCGGCACATATTGATTGACAACCGTGAAGCTTTTCAAGTTGGGCATTCATTCTGGCCCATTCTATCTTGTGGGTGATGAATACTTGTGTAATTCTCGAAATAGTCTAAGAAAGTAGCAAGTTTATAGCTAAATGGGAGCGCGAACAAAAAGAGGGAGACCAAAATTACCAAGAGCAAAGCCAACAAAGTGATGACATAATCTGCGCAGTGTTTTGGAATGCTGCTTTGGATGCTAGTGTGCATAATTCTAATGGACTAGCGAATCAAAATCTTTTTTTTTTAAAATAAATACTACTCATATTGTGTTCCTTGATCATGTTGCCAAAAACAAAAAGGCCACAGACGTTTTGCCATGGCATTAAAGTTGATCCTATAATTTTCTGATTGTCATTGTCATCATCAAGTTTGAGTCTCGTGGATGCTATTTGGATGTCGGCTCATTTTCACAGAACCAAGGTTGCTCACTGGGATGTACAGTCCGTGTTAATAAGAGGTGGTTTGTTTGTAAACTTGTATGATTATTATTTTTGTGAGTTTTTACTCGGCTAATGTTTATAGATTTTTATTTATGGTTGTTAAGGTACAAAAATGTTGTTTTACAGCAATGCAGCTATGAGCCGTTGTCTCTGCTTCTAATCAAAAATGCTATTTTTAAATGTTAAACTAAATAAATAGAATATTGAAGTCGACCAAATGTTTTTCCTTCCATAAATGCAATTTCAGTGTTTGGGTAGCAACAAATGACATCAATCTGTGGCTGTAAAAGAATGGACTTGTGAAAAAAATAATCCAGGCAACGAAACCAGATACTTCCAAATAAGGCACGCACAAATGACCTTAGTCTTTACGTACCACTGAATGTCAGTTGGTTTGTTAGATTGAGAAACCGCTGTTCCCCTTCTCACCATACATCAGCTTCAAGTTTGAGTTGCAACAATGCTCCAAACCTCCTTCCCTTTGTAGGAAAACATTCGAGTGCACATCTGGTTCAATCACTCCACTTAAAAACATTTTACGATGCAGATGAAACACAATCGATAGAAAGCTCTCTCCCCAAACCAAGCTTGAGAGCATTGTTACTTCATAATAGTTGAATGGATGACACGCTGGACACATTATTTAAGTAAATAAACATCTGATCTTATTTAAGAATGTCCATGGATTTGCCCTGAAGTATCAGACTCCCGCTCTGTTTAACGTCCTGATCTGGAGAGCGTGTCCAAAGCTGGAGCGACACAGGAATTTTGGAGTCTAATCTTATATTAATGTGGTTTAAATTATATAGAAGGTGAAACTACGGACGTCATAGTTTGTTTTTTTCCTCCCATCCAGTAAAGATCTAACAGATGTCGATTTGTACTTTGAGCTAAAACATCAGCATCTCTTCAGGATGAACCAAAGTCTTGTCCTGGGTTGTGCAACTCAACCGACTGATTCTTAACAATGTGATATGCTGCATGGGGCTTGATGAGGAGTGATGCAATATGATGAAAATACACACGCAAAATTAGAGTCAAGACAATGCTGGGTGACAGTGAATGGCACGAAATAAATATTCGACATTACCTTCTTTTTACACTTCACTGTAAGCATGCATGTCATCATTCTGTCCTTAAACATCCAATACAAGTACAATCGGCATGTTTTGTGTGTGGCGTTTGCATTTTTTTTCCCCTGTGCTTTTCTGTGTACTCCAGCTTTCTTTTACAGTCCAAAATAAGGATGCTAGGTACACTGAAGACTCTTTATAGCATGTGCGGGAATGGTTGTCTGCCTCTGTGTGTCAGTTCTGTGATTTGACAGGTGATCAGTCCAGTGTGTACCCAGTCAGCTGGGACAGCAGCCTCCTTCTGACCCGGAGTGTTAAACAAAATGGATGGGATCATTTCCATGCAGCCTAATGGCCTTTTTCAAAAGTGCCAAGTAGCAAAAGTGTCTGTGCGCCTCCTTCAAACTAAATAAGAAGCAGAAGCCTTCAGTCTCTGAATTTAAGAGCTACAACGTGAAGGTCTGGTACTGAGACAGTCATCAGGAAAGGAAATCCTAAGACTAGCGTGCATCATTTGACTGAACGCATGGCTGTCCTTGGCATGTTCAGAATAAAACAGACGCCCTTGTGTGGGCAGGGCGCTACTGCTGCGAGTTCGACATCGTCTGGACAGACTTAGTAGTCTGCGAAACAGAGACCGCCTGAGAAGGATGTAGATCCAGGGGTCTAGGATGGGGTTAACGGACGCGATCCGGATGGCGGCCAGGTCGGCTTCCGAGTCATCTTTCAGCATGAGACGGTTGGCGAACACACGGACCTGAAAGAAAAAAAAAACATGATAGTAGTTGGAATCTCATGGCGATGTTCTACAGTGGGCCCCCACTATGCTTCAAGACGGGCTTGAGGCCCCCAGAAAGTCTCATTCCAAAATTTAAGGAATACTTTGCTCAGTAGTCACACGCACTAAATACAGATACTTAAAGAAAGACTCTAGTAAAAGTAGTAGGAAACCCACACGAGCATGGGTAGAACAAGCAAACTCCAAACAGGAGGACCAGAACTGCGCATTGCATTCAAGCCTTCTAAACTGTGAGACAGATGTGCTAATCAGTCAGCTGTTCCACACAAGCTTTCTGATGAATTCTGGTCTAAATCAAGGTTTCGTTTGAATTTTGACCTATGGGGGCAGTTTATTAGTGAACGCTTTCATAGCTTGTCTGCCAGTATATGTTCACCTATCACTGAAACTAAAGCTATTTAGTATCATGAACAATTTGTACTTTGACCACTTGCGCAATAAACCTTTGGTGACACTCATTGGGTGCCAGCCATAAAACTTAAATCACTCTCCTTCAAAATGACAATGGAGTTAGCCCACTCTAGTTCCTGGTGGATCATAATAAAAATTCTAACCACTCACTTAAAAAATAATGTTACTTTTACTTACAATACCTAAGTACACTTGACATGAGACATTTACTTTTGATACTTAAGTACAGCAAATGTCAGATGGTCTACTCTAAAAGCCTTTTTCCTCAAGTAACATGATACAAGTTGACTTTAGCTTTACCAAAGTTACTATCTTGTAACTCTTTGAAAGCATTTCACGTGAAATGCCGTCAATATGAATGAAGAGCGCAGTCAACATGAATTGCCATCAACGTTTATTGCAGTCAACTATGTTTTTGTTAATGAATGAATGGAGAAAAGACTTGGCAAACTGTGGTTTACTAAATCAAAAAAAGTTTAAAAATATATATTTATTATCGGCCACTGATAGCAGCATTGGGTATCTTTTGGATAAGATCACATTGTGTGTCACAACATTGTATAAGCTCCTCAACATGGCTGACCTTAGGAAATGACCATTGCAAGCAGCTTGTGGTTGATGAAAGTGTTTGTCACGTTAAATCTATTACAAAGAGTGTCACAAAAGAGCAAAGAAGGCGATTGTTTAAAGGAGAAACGACGACATAATCTATATACTGTACACGCATGTGCATGGTACACGTGCAGACACGCACACTACTAAATACTACTATTACTAAATAATGTGAAAATTGTTTGTAAAGTTTGCCAAATGTAAAATAATTCTGCAGTTGATATTGGTAAATACATTAATTTCGCCATCAAAAGCACATTTTAGTTGTTAGCATCATATACGAGAAAAGGACTGTTCGGAAGTTTGAGATGTCACTTCAGTCAAAATTATTGGGTACAAAGTTATTGTTGGCATTAAATATATCTTTTCACAAACGATTGTTTTCTGATGTTTTTTTGGAGGTGGGGCGGGGGGTAAAACCAACCCAGGTTTTCCTGCTGATTACTAAAAACGGAATAAGGTAGAAACAAACTTTTTTTGTGTGATGAAAGAAGACAGTCATTTGCTCGTTTATGTTTGCATCGTCATAAAAAGCAATAATCTGTGAGCCCCGAAAGATCAATCAGAATGCTTTAAATTGGGCGGCACTCAAAAAGTTCTCTTATTTGAAAATACCTGGCATTGAAAGAGTTGATGTAGCCTACTTTATTCAAGTATCCTATTCAGGTGTAAATACGGACTTCCCACCACTTACCACCAGTGGAGCCGAACAGGCCACCACAACGAGCGATGTCATCACCAGCACGGTCATGATCTGGATCTCCGCGGCGGAGGAGAGCGCCCTCCACCTGTCCCGCACGCTGCTCCTGCCGCTCTCGGTCCTCCTCCGCACGCTCCTCCGACGCATGAGCAGCAGCGCGCCGCACACGGCCACGTTGAGCGCGGCGGTGCCCACGATGAGCAGCACGCTCACCGCGCCGTACAGGACCGAGTACACCACGGCCACGGGCTCGGGGGTCCTTAAGTCAATGAAACACCACGTTTGGGACGGTTGCAACCTGCTCCTCACCGCGCCCGTCATCGGGAGACAGCAGAAAAGGACGTTAGTGGCGTACATGGACGTCAAGAAAGTTTGCGCAAATCGGCGGTCCACCCCCCACCGCTGGTACAAGTAGGGGCAGCAGATTGCCAGGTAGCGCTCCGCAGCCATGGCGCAAATGATGCTCAGGCCAGTCAGACTGAAAAAAAGCAGCAAAAAGGAGTGGAAGTCGCACAGGGTCCCGCCCTGGAGCACCTGTAGGTCCAAGTAGTTGGCGATGGTCAGCGGGCTGGCCAGACATGTGCCAAGCAGGTCGGTCACTGCCAGACCGCACACCAGAGTGTAGAAAGCGGAACTTTTGCTCTCTTGTCTGGACATCGACAGAACGACGATTGCTATTATATTCCCAATGGCGCCTCCAGCAAACATAAATATTGGTAAAATAATTTTTTCTTTCCAGGCATGAACCAGCAAAGTCTCGTTTCTGAAATGAGAGCCGTGCGTCAAGTTGAGACTCCTCGTGTACGAATGCAACAAGAAGCTCGCGTTTGAGAGCATGTCTTTCGGATCCAACGTGGACTTGGAGAGGTTCGCACTTGGGCAGGGCAATGAGGAGGAGTAAGAGCTGAGGGACTGTGCGCGCTTTATGGTTCCATTCATGCACATGTCACTGCGTCTTTACGCGATTGGGGCAGGACCCACTTTTCAAGGAGACCTCCCAGTCAGCATTCTGATTGGACGTGAAAATCGCCCTGCTCGCCCCCAACCCCGCACCCCGCTTCGTAGTTCTGGTCAAGCAATGGGGAAACAAACATAGATGAATTAGTTGTGTACAAAATGCTCCAAGTCTTATGGGGGCCAAGGGACACTTTCTTCCTTCCGAAAGTTTTCCTTTGGACATATAAAGCAAAAAATAATTGCAAAGACTCAGGCAATGGGAATCTGTCAAAAAGTTATAACATTTACATTTGGAACAATATAAATTAGGTGGCATGGTGGTTGGCTGGTTAGCACATCGGTCTCACAGTGCAGAGGTGCAGGGTTTGATTCTGGCACGGAGTTTGCATGTTCTCCCCTTGCCTGTGTGGGTTTTCCCTGGGTACTGTGGTTTCCACCCACATGACAAAAACATGCGTGGCAGGTTAATGGAACACTTTCAATTGTCCCTAGTTGGGATTTGAACATGAATGGTTGTTCATTTATGTGTGCCCTGCGATTGGCTGGCAACCAGTTCAGGGTGTACCCCACCTACTGCCCAAAGACATCTGGGAAAGACTCTACCACACCCGCGACCCTCCTGAGGAAAAAGCGGACTAGTAAATTAGAAAGTAGATTTAAAAAAAAAAAAAAAAAGATTTTATTTCAAAAAGACAAAACATGGAGTGGGTCATAAACACCGCTGACCAGTTTTGTCAGAAGAATATCATTTTTCACATCCATAATTGTAACACAAGTGTAAAAATATGTTAACCACTGTAAAATATAAATGGAGGTTTTGTGAAGTGCACTATGGTTTCATACCATAGCATGCAGTTAGTTATATTTCAAATAGAAGGAAACACCATTAATATTATTTTGTATGAGTACTTCACAAACACCTTGAAGTGTAGTGATGTGAACACCACAACAATAACCATAAATATAGTGACATAAGTTTTGTGACTAAAGGTTCATGGAGATGAAGCTTGATGAAACTTGATGACGTGGAAATAATTACCAAAGAGAACATGTCATGCTCATCAATATTATCATACATAAAAGTGTCTTTCGCATTTGTTATATATGCAAGTGTGCAGCACTCCATATATTTGGATAGACATAGAACAGTAAGATAACTGAGTTGACAGTAAACGCATGAGGAGCAGTCACCACGTCAGCTAAATGAGCCTGGTGCGACTCTGCGGCCATCACACGTTTATACGCTGTGACTTATGTTTGGAGTGAGGAGCATCGCTGAGGGTCTCCGTCTGCAGCCGGCCTTAAAAGACCACATCGAAGTCTTACCCGAGACGTAAACTTCACATTCTCTTTGCTCCAGATACAAGTGAGCTGGCAGCCTGTTTAAGGACAACGCAGCACTTAAGTGATGCCAAAGCCTGGAAACTCCACTGCTACCTGGAATGTCCCAGGGACAACATTGAATCATGGCATGAACAAGCTGTCCCGCTGTGCTTTACAGTTCCCTTCAATGCTGCAAAGGTAGTCTTTAATAGCAAATGCATCTCTCTCTCTCTCTCTCTCTCTCTCTCTCTCTCTCTCTCTAGTGATTTATAGCTGCATATTTTGGAAGTCTTTTCCCAATTTCTCTCCTTTGCAAAGATTATGTCTTCATGTTTGTTTTTAAACTGTCTTGTGTTTGCTTTCCTGTGTGTACTCAAGAGTGATTTTTTTTTCTTTTTACCTATTGATTATGTTCCTGGTGTGCTCTGCCGGTCAATGATTATGTCATGAATTGCAAGAACAGTGAGTGAGTGATGTTAAAAATCGATATGTGCAAACCAGCCTTAACACTGCATTAAACAGACACCACAACTGTTATGAATCATGCACCCAAAGCACCGAAATGTGACAATAAGAGCATGAAAGCAAATCCCTCACAAAAGCAAAGGCATGGAAAAGTGAACCTCTTTTGTTCTTCTTAATTCACTTTTTGACAAATATAATGTAGATTTATTGCATAATTGTGTCAAAGCCTGGCAACAGAACTGCAACACAGTTGTATCACAGATGTTTGACATAAAATATGAGGTGCTTTTCTACAAATATATAAAAATTGATGCAAACAAGTTGCATTTGATGTTGTTGTGCAGTCATGCAGAATGACATTTTTGGTGGTACTTGAGGTTTGTAGTGAAGGCAAACAACTCACGCTTGGACATGAGTCAAGATGATGGGGGAATCCCAAGACAATCCGAAACTGAGGGGGCAGGACTTTTAGATGGTTCAGCATAACTTTCAGAGTTGGAGCCAATGTGTGTTTATAAATAAGAGACACACCATGCCAGCCATGGATTAATTATAAAAGCACATGAACAAGTCAACTGAGGTTAGGGCATGCCACTGGAGCTAACTGTTTCCCTTTTAATCATACATGTTAAGTTTGAATCTTAGCTCATTTGTTGCACCCGTCATGGGAGAAGATTGCAAAATGTTATCAGAGAAATCTCACCTTAATCTGTTAGGCATCAGTGTTCTTGTTTGTGTGTGTATTTTCAGGTTGTGCTTCATTTATTTAAAGGGGACTATCATTACTTTTTAATTGCTTCGATACAATCCTTGGGTCTCTGGAGTGCATGCTAATCCAAAGATAATGAATTGTAAAATCAAGAAAAATAGTTTGTTTTTTTTTCTGCCTATTTCTGAAAATGTTTCCACGAGCGAGCTGTTCTTCACTACCACCACCCTTGTTATGCAACAGTGGTGCTAATTTACATAATAAACCCCATACTGAGTTTCTCTGCCAAGACATAGTCAAGGCAAGTTTATTTGGATAGCCCTTCATCACAAAAGAGTCCAAGGGCTTCAGTAGCCCACAGATGACAAAGATTAGCCACATCCCCTGAGCTAAAGGTCCAAACTGAGCAAGGAAAAATTTGAAAGCCCATTTGAGGGAAAAATGAAGACACCTTGAAAAGGGACCACAGATTGAGGAATTGTCATGGTTGATCTGTTTGGGCCCAACAGGTGGCTCTGTAGGGCTCCTTCTACAGCGGCGCACCTGTTGGTCATCATGTTATTAGTAGGTTTTCTGTTAAAAGGACTCCCGGCCCGACCGTCACTGTTTCTGTTGCTGATTCTGTTCCTGTTAGTGTTTTGCTTCTGCCATGGGCTTTTGTTTGTACTTTGGATTCTTGTTGTTTTTCAGGACTTTGTTTGTTCTGGATTTAGTTTTCTCAGTGTTTTGTTAAAACAGTTTGTCCAGTTCACCCTGCTCATCCGTCCATCTTCCTGCCTGCTTTTTGGGGTCCTCCACCACCGCTTTCAGGACAGAATGACCCGACCAAGACTGGACCCCGCAGGACCAGAAGCCTGGTCCCACTGCCTTCCGTTCCTATTCCCGGCGATGCAAGTGTTGCGGTCGCCCTCCGTTCCTGTTCCCAGTGACGCAAGTGTTGCAGTCGCCCTCCGTTCTTGTTCCTGGCGACGTAAGTGTTGTCCCACCCCCGCCCTGTTTCCTCGGCAAGCCAAGCCATTGGGTGACTTTAGGATGTCTAGGATCCGTCCTTTGAGGGAGGGGTACTGTTATGGTTGATCTCTTTGGGACCAACAGGTGGTTCTGTAGGGCTCCTCATACAGCGTAACACCTGGTGGTCGTCATGTTATTAGACCAATCAGTGTCGGGTCATTGTTTCTGTCATTGTTTCTGTCATTGTTTCTGTCATTGTTTCTGTCATTGTTTCTGTCATTGTTTCTGTCATTGTTGCTGTCATTGTTGCTGTCACTGTTGCTGTCGCTGTTCCTGTCGCTGTCGCTGTTCCTGTCGCTGTTCCTGTCACTGTTCCTGTCGCTGTTCCTGTCGCTGTTGCTGTTTCTGTTTCTGTTGCTGATTCTGTTCCTGTTGGTATTTTGCTTCTGCCTTGGGCTTTTGTTTGTATTTTGGATTCTTGTTGTTTTTCAGGATTTTGTTTGTTCTGGATTTCAGTTTTCTCAGTGTTTTGTTAATAGTTTGTAAAGTTCACCCTGCTCCTCCATCCTGACTGCTTTTTGTGGTCCTCCACCACTGCTTTCGTGACAGGGATCCACCTTTCAGAATGACCAGCCTGCAATGGATGCAGAGTGGGCAACATTTAACATGTAATGTGGTTAATGCGGTGCTGTAACACATGAGCAAAAGATCGTCGTTGGGAAAGTGGTTCTTCCTTAGTGCCTGGATGGTTGGTGCAAAATCCATACAGCAACAGCCTCAGATTGGGTCATTGCCAACTAGCTCACTCTCCAAGTAGGAGAGGAGCAGGGAAGAAAGGTAAAGTGGTAGTAAAACAGGCCTACCTGTAGTATAACGAAATGCCACAATGTAAACAGACTTATTTTGAGCTCTAACATTTTCGGAAAGTAGATTAAAAGATAGAACATACTGTACCACTAAGTCACTTTCATGTGAGCACATTATTTTTTGCTGAGACACTGTCATGCAGAAAAGCCCACACCTCCCACACTGTTATGTCAAAGCCAAAATCGAAACAGAGCTGCAGGAAATTGTGTTGGCTGTACAGTATTGTGTTAGCGTCGGATAACTGGCACATTTCTTGCTTGCTTGACGAAGTAGGCCATCGAAACGCAGGTTCAAGAGGGGCATTGCGATTTTCATTCTTGGCATGGAACAGAGGACCAGCTCTAAATCCTAAGCAGCATCCTAGTGGATGCATTGGAGACCCATCAACCAGTCTACATGTGCTTTGTGGACCCTCGCAGAGTCTTGCAGGGGGTTCTCCAGGAGTATACGGGACTGATACCCCCTGATACAGGTCGAGAAGGCTCTGTAGAACTGGTGTCAGAGTTTTGTACCACCGAAAGAAGGCTCTGGGGAAGACCCAGACATACATGGAAGACTCTGTCCTCTGATTGGAAGAGCTTGATAAAGTGGGTCAAAGATAGATGGGTGGGCTTAATGGGTAAAAAAAATGCTTTCGAAGCGCTCTTCCAATTGTGATGATGAAAACAAGTTGCTTTCTTTGCATTCATCTTTCAAAACTTCATAATTGTATTTTTATCTGGTTCACCATCAAGTTTTTTTTTTCTGTTTGCCGAGTATTCATCTGACTGTTATTGACTTCTTTCCACTGATGACATTCACGTTTTCCTGTTTGTTGTGCATCATTTCCGTTTGCCTTCACGTCAGAGTGGCGCAAATATCCACTGCTTGGTATTTCAATTAAAGGATAATCCTTCTCATTTAAAGAAGATTTGTGGATGATCTGATACAAACATTTTCCTCCGCCTGGGAATTTACGACAAAATAACTCTGTTTCATCAGAAGATGTGGCAGAAAAGCCCTTGGCTAACACAAACACGAGAATGGTAGTCTTCCTCGACAACGTTCATTCAACAGAGTTCAACATGAGCATTTGTTTCTTCTGAGCAAAGTGTTATGGAGCGCCTGGTCGCCACACAAGTGGTCCGTAAACAGGACTTCTCGTTCTGTGTTATGAAACATTAATTAACATAGGATGCTTTTTCGGAACTAAAAACCGTTCCCAGCTATTTTAACGACATTCCCGGAGCTGCTGGAAAGGCAGCCACTCACGCGGCGCCATCTTGAAGTCAAAATAACAAAAATTAAACATTAATTAACATAGGATGCTTTTTCGGAACTTAAAACCGTTCCCAGCTATTTTAACGACATTCCTCTAACAAAATGCAGACAGGATAAGGAATAACGGTACACTTATCCACTTGTCACACTCGTTTTTAAGAGTCTCATGCAAGTGAAAAACTACTGCTTATGTAACCATGAAGACTCAGGGTGGAGCTCGGCTTAACTCAATGTTAGCATTTTCTCAACTTTTCCGATGCTCGAGCAAAATATTTAAAGAAAACACACACCAAAAAAAAAATAGTTGTTTAATGTCACCCTTGAAACTGTTTTTATTTTTACCCCCATGTAGCATCGTCTCCCTACACAGAAAGAGCTGTGTGCAGAGTTTGCACTCTCTCTTCTCCTAAAATGACTCACAAGCTTCAAAGCTGGTGCAGGGAAGCTGACAGATAATGTTCGAGGCTTCAGCAGTACATCTTTATCTGTTCAAACATACTTCCTGCTGATCATTTGTGTTTATTACTTTGCCTTAAAATTAAAGGACACTTTTCAACTGCCTCGTGAGTTCGAGAGCATACCCTTGTACGTTCCTTCCAAAATTGGGTTATTAGAGATGCACTGAATAAGAGAAGAAAAATGAAACGATGAGAATAATGTTGGATTTTTCTGAGAATAAAGTAATGACATTTGCGTGGGGGAAAAAAAGTCAACAGAATAAAGTTGTAATGCTGGACAGGAAGATATCGATTATTGAGAACCTTGTCAAATAACACGTCAGTGCTTTCGTTTTTGTACAACACCATCATGAACAGAAGTGTTTTTAACATTTTATTTATTGTTTTTGGTTTGTGCTCTTGTCCTGGTAGGAATTCCAACATTCACTCATTCCAATTCAGATGTTCTCTTTTTAATTTTTCTGTGTGGCCATCGTAAAATAAAATTAAATAAATACAATTTTTGGACCAAATATGGATAAGACAAAAACCACAAACATGCTGTTTTGCTACAATTATTTTTTTTCTCCCCATTTTTGAGCATTGGCTTTGATTCCTTTCCCAGCCAGTCCCTGAGAGAAACACATGACCAGACCATGATCTGCCAATCCTCTTCAAGAGGTCCCATGAATGTGAAGTTCCCAGCGGATGTTAATGCTTCACCAATGATTCTCAGACAACCTTTGACCTCGAGCTATTTAAGCCTTGTGGCAAGACATGTACCACAGACTTTCTCCAAGCAGGTGAAACAAACAAACTTTGTTCTAACTTATTACTTGTATTATTTTTTTCAGGCTTCCTAATTACAAATTCAGAAGCTGGATTTTTTTTTTCCAAAATTATTATGACATACAATATCTACAACTAGAAATGATTTTGTTTTTCTCCAGCAACTACCGGCTGAGGATTTCCCAGAAAGACGTGTGGTGATTGATACGTCGCAGTCTGCAGGGGGATGTCCTGTGTTGGAACAAACCGACGTCAAAACATGGCTGCCGCCCAACAGAAGAGGTACACCGTGGCTGCCGTTGACAATAACGTCATACTGTAACCAGCAACACAAGCAGAGCTGATAATAAGTCGCTGTGAACCTTGTCGTAATGTTCCAGCTGCCAGGAATTGACCAAAATTATGTTTTGATTTTGCATGCATCCTGCACCGCATCTAATATTCTGATAACCTCATTCAGCCACCGGTGATCAGAAATAACTCGCAGCATGCTGTAGTGCACTTGTACAATCACAATAATAACCATATTTTTCATGAATACCTCTTTGACAGGTCAAATGAAAATAGATCATTATCTATGAAATTTATTGCGAAGGAATTTTGGATTTATCCCGAGTCTTGTTTTGGGCCTCGTTGGACTATGCAAGTGTGCGTAAGGTTGTTGCCAGGGAGCTAATTGACCGTCTTTCGCAGCGTGTTTGTCAGATCTGAGACAGTATTTGCGTTCATGTGTTCCAGCTGTTCGACCGCTGACGTTCCACAGAATAGCTTTACTGGAATTAGGAAGCTTTGTATTGGGCTCAGCTGGAACTGTTTAGTTGAAGTGAAGTCATGAGAAGGAAGCATGGACACCACTGAACGCATGTTCCGTTGCTGTTGATTCTCTTGTGATGTTTTGGAAATTTGAATGATCATTGACCTTCCTTTTCACACGAGCTAACCACTTGTATTCATGAGCGGTGACGATTGAAAAAGTAGAATTTGTTTTTGTGTCCAAGTAATCCCGCAGAGGTCATCCTTTCTGAGAGCGAGCATTGTAAAAGCTTCCTGGAATATGAGTCTGTATCTAAGCTTTGCTAAGTCATTTATTGAAGAGCTAAAAGAGAAAGAACCCAGAGAAATGTAAGCAAAGTCAGAAAAGGAAAACTGTGTGAACTGAGATGGAGGGAAATCTTCGCATGAGTCTTAATACTTTTTACCTCGCGTTGGATCAAAATCTTGACTCAACATGCTTGTCAAATCCTCAACCCAATGCGCGAGGGAGAGATTCCCCCAAGCATTGACTCATGCCTGGGTGATTTTTAACCCACTGTTTGCATGAGTGTAACACCAATGTACCTTTATGTACTATATGTTTAGCGGGTTATAATTACATCATAACTGTGCTTCTTGCTCATGAATGTTATACCACTGGAAAGCCTATTTATTTTATTGGGCTGTATGAGTTTCTTTACGGGCAAAAAAATAGCATTTGCTTATTTCACACGCACAAAAAAATGCACACTTATCTTTCACTCACCCAAAAAAAAAAAACTCTGACGTACAAAAAAAATCCCCTCATACACACAACCGTTACCTCCAAAAAACTGTCATACACTAAACTCAAAAATGTTACTCCTTTCAAGTTATGAAAAACCTTCTTACTATAAAAAACACACACACACACAAGCACAGAGTTTGCGGCTCATGAAAAAAAACAAATTCCACACACTACTGGCATGAAGTGTGAACATTGAAAGTCACTTTTGCTTTGCAGCAAATGGAAACATCTGCAAGGAAAAGTGGCAAGCAAAAGCAAAACATTTGGCTGAAAGTCTCATTCCGAGGCTTGCAGATTGTGGATCAACAAACCTGAGTGAGTCACATGACAAACATTTCTGTTGACTTGCACCGAAACCATTAAGTTTATCCACTGTACACCTGCTTGGGTTACCACACTCAGGCTAGTTTCTGTATTGCTCAGCTGGGCAATTCCCACGATTTACTTGGAAAGGGCTGAAGAGGAATTGATAAAATGAATAAGGGGCAAAATATAGTATTGATTTAGTATTTAGATCCCACGATTTACTTGGAAAGGGCTGAAGAGGAATTAATAAAATGAATAAGGGGGAAAAAATATAGTATTGATTTAGTATTTATAGTACTGTCACGGCCCTTGCCTCTCCCCCTCTAGACCTGCCCCCCTTTTTCCACCGTGTGTGTGTGTGTGTGTGTGTGTGTGTGTGTGTGTGTGTGTGTGTGTGTGTGTGTGTGTGTGTGTGTGTGTGTGTGTGTGTGCATACAAGTGGACGAGTCAACTTGGGGCACCCCTTGTCCCTTCCACCTGGAGAATCGTCATTGTGGTGATCAGCAGGCATGACATCGCCTGCAAAGGTCTGCCAGACACCCATTCAACACTGTCAGCTCCCAGTTGACACTACCACCCCCTCCTTCACTAAACCTCATTCAAAAGAAAATATTGTCGGACTTCTGTACGCCAGGACACCCCCATGAATCACTCTGTTAACAGATGACCCCATTTGACAAAATTGCCTATTTTCTCCTTTATCATTTGACTTGATTTAAAAAGCATCATGAAGTTGAGAAGCTATATCGATCGATATATATATATATGAGCTGTTAAACGATTAAAATATTTAATCGTGATTAAAAACGCAACGTCATAATTAACTCAAATTAACTTACAATTAATCGTAATTACTGACAGTATATATGTATGTATATATATATATAATATATATATATATACACACACACAATAATGCATAGTACAGTTTGCTACCTGTTGAAGTGTCTTTTTATGTGTTTTTACTTTTATTTTTAGCTATGTTATGGAACTGCACGTGGTTTGTGTTTGTCACTTCCTGGTTTTCAACAAGTGCACTGACACAGGTCGCATCAGTCTGGTGAGACCAACTCGGAGCACTTTGCCACCAACCTGCTCTGACAATTCTGGAATCCCTGAACAGAATTATGGTAAGAGCATTTTACAATGTTTTTATCTTCTAATACAACATAGATGTTTAGCCTGATTGATCAAGGGGCCGAATGGGGCTTGAATGGCTGAAAATCCTCAACCAGGCTATACGGTAACATTTATTGATTTGTTTCTTTGAAAACATTTTTTTAAATTAATACATATTCGAATATGCTTTGTCCAGGATTTTGCCTTATTTAAAAAGCTTTTATTTGAAATAGCATATCTGAATGTCAGTCTAATTTATCTATAATTATTTATTCCTAGGTGTTCTTCATTTAAAATGTCTTTAACATTTAAATGTATGCATTCATTTTTATTCAATTTTGTTTTAAATAAGCACACACGGGAATTAGGTAGACCAAAATGAGCTTCAATCTGAACAGAGCTGCACTGCATCATACTTTCATTGAACAAGATCATCAAAACACTGCTTGAGAATTGCCTTTTGAAATGATGAAAAGATTCAGTGCTACGAGAAACCACAACAATGAAAAATATTGGGACCACCTACGAAAGATTAGCATTGCAAATGAAAGTTTGGCCAGCGCTTCATTTCATCCTATCGTGGAGATGTCCCTAATAAACTGTCCACAGAGAGTGCATCCAATCGAACTTAAAGCTTAGAATTTCATGTCGAAGTAGACTGACGGCAAAGTCAGTATCTGTTTCCTCTGTTCTCTGAAAGCAAGATGACTCGCCGCGAATCTCGCAGCTTTTTGGTGCAACGCTTCCAGCACACACGAGTGTAACTAGAGCAACCAGTGCAGGATGCCGGCTGAGGTGAAGAAGTGTGTGGTTGCGTACACTTCCTTCACACTCTGGCTTTATAAAGGTTGCAACTTTTAGGTGTTCAGACAAATGATTCCTTACACGGGACCTGATTTACTTCTTCTAAAATTGGGATGTCAGCTAACACTTTAACATGTACTCATCCTCCATTAAGCTGAAAGAAGAAGAAAAGGCAACACATCCATGTTAAATTGCGGTCAGGTTTGTTGATGTGAGAGAAATGAAACCACATTGAACTTTATTGTGACTTAGTACAATCTGATTCAAAAAGATCTGTTGCGCATGTGCAAAAGGGTCGAATTAGTTCGCGGAGGGTACTGTACCTACACCAAACTAAGAGTTTGTTTAAACCCCTTTCGCTATAATATTCAGTCTGTCAGAGTACCCTGGGGAACCCACGGGGTCAAATTTGGCCCCTATAAATTCTGCTACTCAAATGCTACCCTTAAATCCCCAAGTGCCAAACCCTAATCCTGAATTAGGATTAAAGCATGAAATATTTGGAAAAACATATATTTTGGTGTTCAGTGAACACATAGAAGTCATTTATTGTATAATTCATAATTTTCCAATCAAGAAAAGGGTTCTTTGGTTTTCCAGGGTTAAATTGACAAGTATGCCACATCCTGACTTGACAATATAGTGTTTGGTCATGTTTCCTTTGTAGAAATTAAAGATACAGCATCTTGTGTGCACAACCGTCTTAATATCACCCCACAGGTTCGATTTAGGTCTGGGCTCTGGCTGGGCCATTTCAAAACGTCTTTCTTTTCCTTCTAATGACACAATTCTTGGACTGGGCGTAAGGTTTTGACGCATTGCTTTTTCTCCTGTCGCGTTCTTGTTTTTCAAACGTGTTTGCTGGCTTCAGTGCACTGGGCGAGCATTCATGCAACGACTACCGTCCCGCTTGAGAAATAAATGTGTTTTGGCTTGTTGTTCTCAGGGAGACAATGTTGATGTCAAGGCTTTGAGGGCCAGGTTCAGCAGCAGCACCAGCGCGTCGCACACCAGTAGCCGGGACAGTAATTCTCCAAAATCTCCGCGGCGTGGTGTTGGCAGAGCCATGCCATCAACACCAGAGAAGGACATTTTCCGGCCTAAAATGTCTCCTACAGTGCTTCCACATGTGGCTGCTCCAGATGTTGCAATGGTAGCCCCCTTCCAGTCCGTGCCCGTTTTATTCCCTCACTCACCTTCTCATACAGGAGTCAGAGAAGTGGTACAGTCTTCACGTGGTAATAAAATTAAACAGACAGGTGAGATGCTCGAAAATTTGATGCTGAAGGGGGCTGCGGGTACCAAAGTCCCCCTTCCAGCTCCAAGATTGACTGCTCTCCCCCCACCGCGACTGAGGAGCGCAATCGATGTCATTCCATTGAGAAAGCCACTTCCCCCTGATGGACCCCTTCCCTTGAAACCCAAACGACCACACAACGTTGACCTCGAGCAATTTTTCAACATCGCCCAGCGAGCTAGGCCACTTCCTGCCTCGGGGACAAGAGAAGGTCAGTGGGTATCTGCTTGTTCAAGGACATACACTATTAGCCAGAAGCGGGTACATTTTTTGAAAGGCTCAACTCAACTCAACTGGCTATGGAACAACAGTGAAGAAATGACACTTTGTGAGAATGTCGTATGCTTACATCTTGTAGATGGCACACACGTATTGTACATTTACTATCGCCTCAAAATGACTCACAACACAATCATTACCTGACAAAAAAAATTAAGTACTGTACAACCAAGCGTTATTATAGTTTAGGAGATGGGTGTCAAACCCATTTTTGTCGTTGGCCACATTTTAGTTACTGTTTCCCTTGGAGGGCCATTTTGACTGAAATCATAGAAAGAAGTCAAGAATAACAATTTATTCAGCTATTGTTTAAGTTACTGTAATGAGGCGTTTGGCAACAAGAAAATGCTTACAGTATCTCTTATTTATTACATATGAGAACTTAAAGTTTTGGTTCATATTTTAGCAAGCATCATGGAAGTTGCCATGTTTGATTTGTCTTTGCGGGCCGCATAAAATGATGTGGCAGGCCAGAACTGGCCCCCGGGCCTTGACTTTGATACCTGTGGTTTCGGATTTTCTATTAATAGTTAGTTTTTATTTCATTTTGACTTTTGTTTCTAAATCCAGTTAGGTTTAGTTGTTGTTTTTTTACAGCAAGTTTGTTATTTTTTTTTTCAAAAATGCTATGTTTAACTTCGTTTTTTTTTTTTAGTTTTTTTTATGAATTCTTTATTTACTCCGTATGCCGAGTAACAAAATTAAAAAAAGAAAAACATTTTCTAAGTATGGTGCACTAAAGTAAAGTGAACGAAATAAAGGATATTCATTTGTATAATTATACTAGTTAGTTTTTATAAATGTGAGTTGTAGTTTCAGTTTGTTTTTTTTTTGTTTTTTTGGCAGCATTTTCATTTTAATGTTATTTCATGAACAAAAATGTTTGTCTATGTGCCATGTGTGTGACTTAATGAGGACAAGCGTTTAGAAAAAAAAAAAATTGGATGGATGGTCGACCATCCGTGTCCTCGTACTTCCTTGTCTACATCTGTTTTCAGTGCTGTTCACGTTCCAAAATTGACACTCTCACCCCAAATGGTTCCTCAGGCTCAGAAACAAGACAAATATCTTTGTCTGGAGTGACTAGTACACCCAATCCTCCTTCACAACTGATCGATTACAGAGGGCTGCAGAATCAGGTTACCTCTGTGTGAGTATTTGGCATCATCAAGGTCAAGTCTGAGTCAGATGAATTTGTCTAATGTTTCGTTCCACAGAATTTCCTACTCACTCACTCATTTGGGAATGCAAAGGATGTTGTGTAGAAGAAGCTCCTTTTACGACAAGCTCTTCCATTGACAACATCTTGTGTTGTTCACTGCAGGGAAGTTGACATCTACCATGATGATTATGATGACATTGCAAACTTGGAGGACCAAGGTAAAAATAAGTGCAATAAAAATCGTATGTACAAGCATGAATTAATACACAATTGGATACATATTTTATATCAATGTAATTAATTTGACATTTCCATTTTATTAAGTATTTATTTGAACATTACAAAGATCCAGCAAGATCTAGCCCTTGATGTATAACAATTGAGGATAATGGGACAAATTCAATTCTGCTTAAAGACCATAAAGCGTTGGGCTGGCACTGTTTCACAAAACAGAACTCTGAATTGGAAGACCAGTATGTGCACAGCATGTTAACATTTTTCAAGACATCATTTTCTCTGTGTTGTCAGATGACTATGATGATCTATCAAGTGAGGATTTTCCACCGCCGCCACCACCACCACCTGACATTAGGTACAGTACCGGTATTCATTTATTTGTTGTTCAATAAAAGAGAACTGGAAATAAATGGTGGAGCTGCAGTTTCATCCTTGTTTGTGTGTTTGTGTTCCCAACACAGGAGGTAGAGAGAGTTCATTTGAGGTTCCCCTTTTGTTTTGCATTTCAGCGGAACACCCAAAGTCAAACACAATCTGATCTCTCCTTAGAAAATGTGAATTGAATGAATGACTTCATTTGTGCCACGTTCATAATATCGCCATCAGCAAATGTTTAGCAGTTGTCCAGTTTAGATAATAAGTAATACTTTCATATTCATGTCATATAAGTATGAGAAAAGTTGACTACACCAAAACAAAAATAAAACAATAACGACTTACTTTTTGTCCAGAGATGTCTGCCAGACAAAGTAACATTTGGTGATGTCAGCAGGATCTTATTCACTTTAAAAATCTGAATTAGGGCTGACATTTGCTGTAATTGTTTTGATAAAGCTTCAAATCAGACGACAGAAAACAAGCAATAAAATGTTTTGGGGCTTTTACAGTGTTGACGCCATTGTCGAAAAGGAACTGAGGAAAAAATTCAAGGTATGTGCTTTTCTACAGTTCTTCATAACTCAAAGTTTTATGATTGATCACTTAAATAGATTATGCTAGAAGGTGTTGTGAAAAATATTATTTTAGTTATTCTACCATTTAAAAATGGATAAGAACTTGAAGTTATCTGTGCTAAATGTGTCAGTACGAGGGTCCACTCAGAGTGTTGCAGACCGTGATGATCAATCCTAACGGTGTCATGAAGAAGCCAGGAAAGAAGGACCTCCACGTGTCTCCAGGGGATGTCGTAGACATCATCCAGCTCACCAACAGCAAGAAAGCTCTTTGCCACAACCGCAGATCAGGAAATTGTAAGTGAATATATCACTTTTGACGTTGTTATGACTGGAGCGGATTGTGTGAAATGCAGCTGACAGAATGTTTTGGTCAAATAGGTAAAATATATGGAAAATGACATACACTGTGTATGTTCATGCATGTTATATCATATTTACGCACACAAACACCTCTTGCACACATTTATGTGTTCTATGGTAACCGTTCACTTGCTAACAGAAGACTACTTGAAAATAAAGAAAGTTCAGTGTGCGTTGTCAACATTTGCTGAAAACAAAGAGGCTGCTCTAAGATTCTTCTTGTTATTTCTTGCAGGTGGCTATGTATCCAGAAAGCTTCTCGTTCGACTGTGAGTTAATGTTACTTTGCAACTTTCATTCATGTGAATCTCGTAACACATACATTATAAGCTTCATTAATGATTATTGTTCTTTAAAAAACAAGTTATTGATGCTGTGGTAGTCAATGGGTCGAGTGGAGAAGAAATGAAAAATACTCATAAAAGGAAACTTTAATGAAGATTGGGTGTTGATTGCATTGATATTTATCTTCTTCGTTTCCAGGGAAGAGGACGATTATGACCATTACGTCAGTGGTGAATTATCTGCGTCCTTAAATGACAACGATTTACTGCAGAATTGCATTTTCTTATTGCCTTTCTTTTCTCTTTCAGAACCGCATGACAACGACTATGAGGACACTGATTATTAATCCATGTCAAACTAAACCCAGATAAAGAGATACATACCGATATAGAGATAAATGGATGGAAACAGACTACAGTATATCAAAACTAAATGAACCTGAGAACCAAAATTGCTTGTTAGAGAGTTGCATTGTTTATAAACTGGGGGGAGGGCCGGGGGGGGGGGGGATATCAATGTTTCATATAGTCTATCAAATGAAGGAAATTGTAGATTTAATCACTCAAGGTTTTTGTACATAATATGGACACTATTGCAGATTTTGCTTGCCTTGAACTCTGAGATAATTTTTAATAAACCCTGCTATTTAAATAAACTATTTTTCTGATATGTCTGCATGAAAACACACTGTTCACAAAAGATGATCCAACTAGTTCCCTAAATGTTGTCTTTAATTTAAATAATACAAAAACAGCTGTTATATTAATGATGGTCAGGATAGCATATGACTGTCCGTGTTTTATGTTGTGTTGTGTTTATTATTTTACTTTATGTTAACTGTTTTGTTAAGCGCTTTGTTACAGCTGCAGCTGCTGTGAAAGCGCTATATAAATCAGGATGTATTGTATTGTAACAATTTAAAAACATTAGAAATAATAAATATACACATAAAATAATTATAGTAATAATGTACGTAAAAATGTAACAAATACTGTAATTATATAAAAAAACTGTTCTGTTGTATTATTTTTGTTATTTTGTTAAATACTCTGTAAAGCGCTTGGTTATAGCTGCAGCTATTGTGAAAGCGCTGTATCGGATTGTTCGCTAGACAATAAACTACTTGTACGTTAGAGGGCAGTAGTGCCCAGCGTCTGATTAAGCATGAAAAGAGGCTCGAGTAGCTCGGTTATCGACTATTTGAGTCTGAAGTGTTTCGCGATCGAAGTCCAGCAGACGATTAGAAAAACACGGAGGTAAAGTTAAGGATGTTTTATACAAAAGAATGACAGTCCAGTGGACTTTATTCGTTTTGTTTTTTTTTAACAGTTGTGTCAGACATGCAACATTCTGTCGACTGCCTTGTTCGGGTGCTCGAGTCCTACAGGGGAAGAGATAAAGTTGTGAGTAGTACATGCACTGGAATTAACAAGTACTGCAGCTGTTGGTATATTTGAGATGAAACTCAAAAATGTCCGAATGAAACGTTGCACCTATTGCAGTCAATCTTAGCTGATAAATTCCTTGAATCTTATAATATAAAAAATACAGACCTAAGTTGTACTGTAACTCAAATTAGCTAGTATATGAGCTGTGTGATGATCCGTAGGATATGGCAATAATAACAACAATAATACTGTTTAGTGTAATTACAAATAAGGGACTTTAAGGACTTATATTTTTAGAAATACACTTGTATATTTAAAAATGATAGATGGATGGACGGATGTCCATTTTAGAGAAAGTTTAATCCTTTTAAGTGCGCCTTATGGTTGTGAAAACACTGACAAAATTGAGTAAATAAATTATCCCGTGAACAATATAAAATACACGCTTTCACTGAAATTTTCTGTTTCTGACACATTGTCTTCTCTGCTTACAGATCAGGACACTTTGCTATGGCTCTCAGTTGGTAGGAGGAATTATTTCACGCAAGGCAGAGGCAGATGCTTCGTCCCACAACCTCGGGAAAAGTCTGCTGCTGTTTTCTGCTCAGTTAAGCCACTGCAGGACGGTGCTGAGGCTGTTCGATGATATGTCCATGCTGGCTTACTCCTACAGTTATGGATTTGGAGCCAAGGTCTCCTTTTCTATTTCTAATGGTGACACATATTCCAAGTGGACCATACTTATTACTTACCACATACTAACAGGCAACACCTGAAATTAGTCTCGTTTTCCTTCCTGCTTTGATTCAATTTCTTTCTGTCCATCCACCCACCCCTAAACTTCTGTTGTGCAGACATTAGGTACGTTGAGAAATGTAAGGCAGTCATGGAAAAAAGTTTCCTATTAAGAGTCATTCTGCTCATGCACCCTAGTTATTCTAATAGCATACAAACAAAAATATGCAAATGCACTCTAAATCAATGCTCAAAGGTTTTGCCATATGCCTCTCACCAAAATGTAACTGTGATAGGATCCATCTCACACACAACCCTCATGAGAAAAATGGACGGATGTATGTTTGCTGTGATGTCACCACCAACACATGCTCGATGTTATCTGAAGGAGAAAGATGGAATCACGCGCTGGATATCGGTGCTCACAAATGTAGCCGACCAGCTCTACTACCCGTGCGAACACGTGGCCTGGGCCGCTGATTCTCACCTCCTTGGAGTGAAGTCTGACAGATGGTGGGTCGTCAGTACGGTGCTGTGGGCAACCTCGTTGCTGCTCGGGACACTTAGGTGAAGTCGTCTCTCTGCTATTCTCAGGTCATCCGTCCTATGGGGCTTTAAGCGTGACTTCACGCATACTTCTGGGTGGTAAAAGTCTTAAGTGATCTCCAAGCGAATGCCAAGGCATGCGAAAAAGGCAGCGTAGTCTGTTTTGTTTAATTAACTCAGTCAACACTAACAAACATTTTATTCATACTTGTCACAAACTGGAGATTTGGCGTCCAGTTTCTCCCGTTAGCAGTGCCTCTCAGTCTTGCGATCTTGTCTGTACAATAACGTTTTTTACAATATTCACTCCATTTATCCTCCCCACCCACAGATTCTGTTGAATTATTTTAGTTTTCTTGAGGACATTGACAACAAATCTGAACATTTAGTTTATACCTGGCGGCACATCCCCAAACACAAGGTTTTTGTCTTCATTTCAACTCATGTCTGTAGTCAAACTGTTTTCCGGCACCTTAGGTATGGTGCCTATTGTTCAGAGTCATTCAGAGTTCATTTGTAATGCTACCTGTGTGTTCTCCAGGTCACTCCGAGTTCTGATGCTGCTCAAGAGGGAGCTTAGGAAATGTCACAAAGACGGAAGCAGGTGGTTTATCTACGTCTTTCTTTAAATTATCTCCTCTGATCAGAATAAAGAAGGACAGCATGTGAGATATATTTTTTTTTGGGTCTAAACTCATCTTTTCCACCTCTTGCAGCCACTCTCAGATCGATAGGCAGATGCAGGTGGAGCTGCTTTCGATCCTGGGATGTATGGCAGACTTCATGAACGCAATCCATTGGATGCCTCATGGCTTCCTTTGGGCAGGACGATTCCCTCCTTGGCTAGTGGGACTGATGGGCACTATCTCCTCTGTTGTTGGTTTGATCAAGATGAAAGAAGGAGACTTTGCTCAAACATGCAGTGCTGAGTAATGGATGCAGTCAGCACTGAACCATTCATCCATCCATCATAGTCTCTACAACATTTCTTGGGCTGTCCGCGGTGCCTCCTCTGAGTGGGGCCCGTGACACCTCACCGGGGAGGCGTCCCGGGGGCATCCTTGCTCTGTTCTCGAGCAGTGTTGCCACACTTATCATGAAAAAGTAACTTAGTTACTTTACTAATTACTTAAGTTTAAAAGTAACTCAGCTACTTCCCTGGCTACTTGGTTTTAAAAGTAGCTAAGTTAGATTGCGCACACACACACACACACACACACACACACACACACACACACACACACACACACACACACACACATATATATATATATATATATGTGTGTGTGTGTGTGTATAAAGGCAGTCTTTTCTTGACCTGACATATGTAGCTGTTAATACTGTAATGGTAAAACATATGTTTATAAATATAACAAAATTCAGGGACCTTCTGCTTTAGTTGCAGCGCTGCTTCGCACAACCTGTTGGGACTTTTGTCAGCTTGCAAGAATTTAGTGAGAGGGGGGAGAGTTAACATTTTATATTTTTGCCTGTTATCCTTGAATGAGTTGCCGACACTGCGTTTTAGGCCGTCAAATATATTTAAAAGATCATTAAATTTCAGAGAGATTGTTCTTTAACAGTTCCACCTTGTCATGGTTTGTCATTTTTATTTTATTTTTCGAACCGCAGTCTTGTCACGGGTTCCACTTGTTTCGGTCTTGGACTTGACTGTGTTTTCAAGTCCCCAGAGTCTTGGTCTTGGACAAGTCTTGGTCTTGAGCACAACTATTATTTAGGCTCATGTAATAACTACAAACGTTAAGCATGGTGGGTATAAACTGTGACTAAATCTAGACTTTCAAATAGTTCTAATTAAAAACTTTAACATTTTTAATTGTTGAGTATTGTCATTTAATAGGCTACAAAGACTGGATTAGTGTTCAACATTTTGTTATTTATGTGACATGCATAAAACCTGCCAGGGAATGCATAGAACTTAATCTCAAATTGAAATGTGTGTGAGGAAGTGTGGAGCGGAAAAACCTCAACCCTCCCATCTGAACGTTCTGCCACCCTTTCAAAACTTTCTCGAACCGCCACTGCCTGACAGTCAATTTGTCATATTGATTGATTGAATCATACTGTATTCAACAAGCCTGTCATTCTAGTCGCCTTCACCATTTTTAACAACCATCTGTCTTCTTTTCCAGGTAAAAGAGGGAAATTGAACAGATTCACTCCAGAAGCCAATTGTGACAATATTTTGCTGTTGCAGTATTCTCTTTTAGTTGTGTGCAAGAGGCACCCAAACTGTGTCTTGTCAGCTCTTGTTACTGCCTGTCTCTGTCAGACATGTAAACACTGTTCGCCTTGTTCTGAACTTTACTTATGTGCTTGGTTAACTTAGATGCACGAGTGACTGGACTCTACACTCTTACATAAGTGGGCCAAAAATGACCCATAATACAATCAATGCGTTTTTATGAAATTCTTGTCATTTTGGTTAAGAATAATCACTTGTATGATATTTAGTATTCTATTTAGGACCATACAAGAATGATTTCATGTTTGAAATATCTTTATTTTTCACTTTAACATTTTTGAAAAAGAAAATTACCAAGAACAGCAATAGAAAAATGTGAGCATCCATTGTGTGTGTAATTTTGGTTAAGAATAATCACTTGTATGATATTTAGTATTCTATTTAGGACCATACAAGAATGATTTCATGTTTGAAATATCTTTATTTTTCACTTTAACATTTTTGAAAAAGAAAATTACCAAGAACAGCAATAGAAAAATGTGAGCTGTCTGTCTGTCTGTCTGTCTGTCTGTCTGTCTGTGTGTATGTATGTCTAGAACTGTCCAGTCATTGATTGACAGTTCCTCTCTCTTTTCCCTGTTTTGCCTTCTTGTTTCATCACTGTATGCAATTCAGACAAACTACCTGTTTCTGGCAGTGATCATTGCACACAGGTAATTGGCATTTCCCACACCTATTGTTGACTTTGCGATCTTTGTTACTTAGGCAGATCTGACGCCTTTTTCTCTTTGGTTGGCCCTGTGTATTTCTTTCCTGTGTCTGGGTTGTGGCTTTTGTCAACCCGCACCTTTCCATTGCTTCAATAATCGGGGTTTGCAGTTGGGGGCAGCTTTCCAGTTGATTCCTCATGTGTGGTGTGACAATCTCCTTTGACAGCTCTTTGAGGAACAGCCGTCGTGCATTGGTGATGCCGCTCTTGAAATCGGTGCTGAGCAATGAAAAAGGTGTAGGCATTCAGGGTGCCGATGTCAATTATGTTGTACCACAGCACCGTGGCCCACCTCTGTGTTTGGCGCTTGCACGTGTAGTTGCCAACCATCTGGTCAATGGTGTCTACACCTCCTTTTGTCTCATTGTAAAATGTGATCACTTATGTTTTTTTCTTTCTGCTCTGTTCATCCACTTTTTTGTTGTGGTGCATCGTGCTCAGGAGCACAACAGCTTTTCCTTTCTTTCTGACATAGCTGACCATGGTAAGGCTGTCGTTGAATCCAAACTCTGCTGTAAACCTCCCTGGACTTGGAAGGCTTCATCAGAGGAGGGATGTCTGGCTTGTTCTGACGTAGAGTCCCCACAATAGTGAGCTCCTTCTCCAGGAGATGCTGCGCGAGTGGCACACTGGTGAAAAAGTTATCCATGGTGATGTTGCGACCTGTTTCGAAATCTACTACACAACTGCTGGACAATGTTTTCTCCCAGATTCTTCTGAACTTCTTCCCCTGGTTGTCTCCCCGTGTAAACTCCACCATCCATTGCATAGGGGATGCGTTCATCACAAACCCAGAATATCTTTAGGCCGTACTTGGCAGGCTTGCTTGGCATGTACTGTAGAAACTTGCACCTACCCCTGAATGGCACAAGCTGTTCGTCCACAGTGATACAATCACCGGGGATGAATGGCTTTCTGCAGTTGACCATGAACAGGTCCCACACATAGCGGAAGGCTGCCATATGATCTGTTTCCAGGCGGAAGGCTCTGGTCCTCTTATCATAAAAGCGCAAGGTACGGTGAATGTCTTCAAATCTTCCAACAGCCATAGTGGCCTTGTACATGGTACTATGTAGAGGACTTCCGAACAACTCATGGATAGATACATCCCAGTTCTTCTCACTTCCTGCAAGCAGCGTCAATCCAATGAAAGTCACAAATTCTTCTTTGGTGACATTTTTCCATTTTTTCCTCTAGCTGTTACTACCCTCCGTCCTTCCAAGTTTGTACACTTCATCACCTCTTGGATTATATCATCAGTGATAAAGAGCTCCCATGCATCTTTGGGTGAGACAGTGGTGCTAAGCCCTTGTACAGGCCATGACTGTCTTCTGAAGAAATTGTGGCTCTGTGTTCTGCCTTGGGTGGGAGGAAACTCGTTCCAGTAAGAGCCCTTTCGACTCATTCTGTTGGACATGATTTGGACACTTTCTTCTTCAGACGACACATAAGAGGAATCGTCTGAGTCAGATTGATCCTGTTCAGTTGGGATTTCCAGATGGACGACTGCTACTGCCACCTGGACAATAGTATGGGTCCTCATCAGAAATTTCAGATTCGGAGTCCAACCCTGTTACTGCCTCTTCATCATCCAGCATTTGTCGGACCATTTCAGCTGTGTATCTAGCAGCCATGACACTTTGGATGAGGAAAGACAATAGTAGTGTTTTCAATAGATCAATATGTAGCTATATAAATAAATACACACGCACAACAACACACACGGACGCACACACAAACGGACACACACACTACATATAGTAATATTAGCTAACGAGTATTGGCTAGTTATGATACATGAGCACCACCTGCTTTCTCAGCACGGAAAGAAAACAATTTTAAATATACACTGGCTGTGAAATAGGCTAATTTGTTGATAAATAATAAAATACTCTTTCACAAAACAATCATGAATGACCTGCGTGCACACACAATGCATATAGTAATTTTGGTTGTCTGTGTTAGCTAGTTATTAAGCAGGCCAATTTGTAGATAAATAATAGTCATGAAAGACACACAAACAATATTATATGAAGATAATACTTACAGGTATCAGATCTTACTGTGTAAAATAATCTTCCTGAGGGGTGACACTTCTGATATACAGTAGTATGCGTGGTCCACAGTTAATTTATTCCTGACACCCAAAGTTGATTAGAATTAGAGGTTCCAATTGGATTCCATAGAAAATGCACGCGGGTCATTTTTGACCCATTTGTGGAAGCTTGGGGTAGTAATACAAAAACTGAAATTTCTTAAATGTATAAAAGGTAAGTTGAAATTGTGAATGACATGATATAAAAATCATGTTTTTTGAGGAATACCTGGAATATGAAATGATAACAAATTTTCAAGAAAACAACCTCACCGGGTCATTTTTGACCCACTTATGCATCTAATATTTGAGTTTTAGCCTAGGTGTACCACGATAACGAATCATGGTTTCATTGTATTCTTGTCTATCGGACCGATTTCGATTTGAAAAATACATTCGAGGTTTTAGGTCGATATGATCTTTTTCTATTGAGGTGGACTGAGCCATGCTCGTGACGTCAAACTATGGAGCTCGTGGTGCATTCATCAACACAGATTTTTTTTATATTCCATGCACTCACGTCTCGTTTACGATACAGAACGTCAACATTCTTAACGCTCGTATTACGTGATTTCGATAGATACTAATGAATATGTTCTGCCATCTTAAATGAAATATAAATATGTAAAAAACAATCACTTACCTTGTGAAGCTGCTGGGTAGATCATTGGGATCTTAGAAAAACTATAAACACGAATGCACCCTAATTACAAGACAACACCGTCAGCGAGTAAATAATGAAGCCGAAGTATGTGTTTTCTTCAGGTTCGGAACATTAATAGATAACGCTTGTGTTTGTTACTTAGCCTAGTCCTTAGAATTTTATGAAAATACCACATTTAATGGTTTCCTTGTTAATATGACGATTAAAACCCTCAGGGAAAGACCCCAGCACATATTAATTTATATGTCGTGGCACCAACAGACAACTCCACCTGAGCACAAAGAAAGTCAGCGAGACACGAAATATCAGGTCAGATGTTATTTTTTTCCTCCCATTAGCGCATTGCGTTAAAATATTTGGTTGAGTTTATCTTCGTGGCCCCAGTTGTTGAAGTTAACCGCTAGCTTTCGGCTCCGTCACTCCTCAAATTAGTTAGCTCCCTGTTTAATTCAAGTTCTTGTAATTACAATTTTCCATCTGTTCACGTCAGTCATCAATTTATTTAGGGGTTTGCTTCATTCTTTCAACGACATTGAACTGAAAGAATGGAATTCCGAAATTAAACGGTTTGAAAATTTCACCGTAGCAGCGTACTGTACAATGGCAATGGTATTACACATTCAAGGTACACGTGGATTGGCAATCTCGGGTTTTGGCCGAATAGTTTAATTTATAGACACAAGGTCTGTGGATTACCTTCCGAATCCTTTTCAAACATGTTGCAATGCACTTTGTGCTGCGCTTATCTCAATGGCCAAGGGCCATGTGTTTTACAAGTTGCTCCAGATGTTGCTTTCGAACATTAAAAGCATAATATTTCTTGCTGATCAGTATTCCAGTGCAATGAGGCACTCATCTAATGTCCAAGTTTATGAATGACAAACGGGCATTTTTTTACTTCCAACAGACCCAGTTGAAGAATGGACCCCGACCACAGCTCTCTTGATGTATCATCTCCTGCACCGTCACACAACCACAGCTTGATCTCTATTGATAGAGGCCTTGGTGTTGTTGAGCTCGATTCACATGTGGGGGAGTTGGACTCGTACAACATGATAGAGCCTCCTCCTTTAGAGTGGAAGTCTGACTCCTCCACTGAGGCTGGGTCAGCAGAAGACCTGGACGACGGCAGCTTCCTCTCTCCTTCTGGCTATCTGGAAAAGGCCAGCTCAGATGAAGTCCATGTGAACGGCACCCTGGCTTCACCTGATGTGAAGCAGCAGGAGCTTGTGGCAAACAGCACAGAGTTGAAAAAGGAGAAGAAAGTTGAAGTTGAAGTGGAAGTGGAAGTTGAAGTGAAAGAAGATGTGGATAGCATTCAACAGAGAGCACATGATGCAAATGCGCAGGATGAAGAAGCTAACCAAATACAAGGCGATGAAGACCACACCCGTATCCAAACATTGCTCTGCCAACTTCAGATGATGGGGGAAGAAGCTCACACTTGTCCCAGAACACCGCCTTGCCTCACTGAGTATCCACACTCGGGTCCCTGTGATCTTGAGGAATGTTCTTTGTTATCAGCCTTACCAGAGGACAGCACTGAAACCACTGGGTTGTTGTTTTCTGAAAGCAACCAGAGAGATGTGTTGGGACTGCTGCAGTGCACAGACATCAGCGCTAAGCTGCATCACAGCTGCCATCCCCTCAAAGGAGAAATGGATGCCGTCGTGTCCGTTTCTTACAACCAGGAAGACGCCCAGAGTTTCTGGGGGCCGCATGGGAATAATCAACAGCAGCCATACAGGGAAGAAGGCTCGGTCAACTTGCTGCCTGACACTGACTTTCTTGAGCCGGTATGGGTGAAATTGAGGGAAGAGGGACAAGAGGGGGAGGTTTCTGCAGAGCACGAGCAGGTTGGTCTAATTATAACTGTCACGAGAAGTTCATTTAGCATATGAAGTAATGACAGAAAACCGGTCTGTTTGCTTGCTTTATTTATGCAAAGACCACATTTTTCATCCAATGTTAGGGCAGTTTTAAAATTGTTTGGTAAGAGGATATTGAATAATTGCTTTTTTCCCCATGTGGTATACTTAATGATAATACAGTACTGTAATGTGTTGCTGTCCGTCTGAGGTTGTATAGATGAGTATTTCTAAGTAAATATATTATAATAATATAGTTATGTGTGGCGGCCCGGTGGTCCAGTGGTTAGTGCGTCGACCTCACAGTGCAGAGGTCGTGGGTTCGTCTTCCTGTGTGGAGCTTGCATGTTCTCCCTGGGCCTCTGTGGGTTTTCTCCGGGTACTCAGGTTTCCCCCACATATTCCAAAAACATGCATGGCAGGCTGATTGAACACTTTAAATTGTCCCCAGGTGTGAGTGTGAGCGCGGATGGTTGTTCGTCTCTGTGTGCCCTGCGATTGCCTGGCAACCGGTTCAGGGTGTCCCCCGCCTACTGCCCGAAGACGGCTGGGATAGGCTCCAGCACCCCCCGCGACCCTTGTGAGGATAAAGCGGATCGGTAAATTAATGGATGGATGGATAATTATGTGTTGATAGGTAAAATATTTAAAATCATTTGTAATATAACTTAGACTCTTGTACTGAATTGTTTCTAATAATGACCAGAATTGGCTTTGACCGAGCAAATAGATAAGTTACCGAATCAGAAATCGCTTCCTAATTATTAATTATCTCAAGTGCTGATTGCAGTCTGATTCTGTTGTTATTACAGGATGCCGATGATCAGCCTTCATACAAAGATGGTAAGTCTTAATTAATGATTTTGACAACGGAGCGGCCGTACAATGCGTATTTTGTGCCTTTCCTTCAAGTGCCAAATTAGGGAACAGGTCATTCTAAAAGCTGTGTACTGTATTGTGTTCTTGTCGTCGCTCGGAAAATTTGTCAGAAGTGCTATTTTTGTAATAAAAATACAAATTGTGGGAGCACAGTAATTGAAGAATTATTTTTCACACATCATATTATATGTTACCTTGTGATGTTGTAATTGAAGCAATGTACTAGAATTAGAGTTGCCCCCATCATTTGATCGGAAATCAGGACGGATCACGTGATTTTCAACTCATCATTATAGGATTTTTTTTCTCAATTTCTATCCAGACGGTATGTACTTAGCTCTATATTTTTGATCCTTCTGTACTCTATATTCGCAGCAATGCTCCACCAAGTCAGCAGTCTTGAATGGCTCCCTTTGTGACAAACGCAATCACACCATTTTAGTGCCTTTACCTTCCAGTGCCTGGTCCATGTGACCCTGAAGACCTCTTAGATGGAGTCATATTTGGTGCAAAGTACCTGGGCTCAACACAGCTCAAGTCGGAGAAGAACCCATCTACAAATGCCCGTATGGCACAGGCTCAGGAAGCGGTGGACCGCATTAAGGTAAACTCCTCTGTGGGTTCATGCTGTACTGTAAATCTTAACACTTTGCTAGATGACATCAGCTGTTCATTTCAACATAAGGCAATGACTTCCAACCGGCGTGCCGGGGCACATTACTGTGCCGTGAGAGCTCTAATGGTGTGCCGCGGGAAATTGTCAAATTTCACTTAATTGGTGAGAAAATTATTTGTTAACTATAAATAATGTAGCTTTGTCCATCTATTTATGCCAGCAACTTATGGTGATGTAAAGAACAAATAAATGATATTCTATAAGATGACAAAAAGTATGAAATTGGCATATTAATCCTTTTTGTGACAATTTTGTTTGGCGGTGTGCCGTGCAAGTTTTCAAACTTAAAATATGTGCCTTGGTGCCAGCAAAGGTTGGGAATCACTGGTCTTGTTATTCATTCATTCTAATTTCTTTCAGGCCCCAGAAGGGGAATCCCAGCCAATGACCGAGGTGGATCTGTTCATCTCCACTCAGAGGATCAAAGTTCTCTCTGCTGACACACAGGTGGGATTTCCCAAATGTTTTTTTTTTTTTTTTAGCAAACACGCTAACCAAACAGTTACCCTCACATTTTAACACTGCAAGTCTTGTAAGTATTTAAATACTTCAGTATTTTGTCGCTAAACAGAACAATTGACAATCTATTATTCATGTCGTCACGATCTGGCAGAATTGTCATCGCTCCAAAATCACTACTTTTCAACGCTTATTTCTTGAGTTACCCCAACGCCGCATCATGAACGCTGGTTTTATACTTTACCTTACTGATCCCCAGGCCTCACACTTAAGGAGGGGGCATCTTACTTCTTGTAATCGATTATAGATGTTCAGCCAGTTTGAAGGGAAACCAGACTTAATTGTCCGATTTTCAAGAAAATGTTCCTTTTGTGTGTCCTGTGTCCACCCAGGAGGCCATGATGGATCACTCTTTGCAGATGATTTCTTTCATTGTATTCTTGTCTATCGGACCGATTTCGATTTGAAAAATACATTCGAGGTTTTAGGTCGATATGATCTTTTTCTATTGAGGTGGACTGAGCCATGCTCGTGACGTCAAACTATGGAGCTCGTGGTGCATTCATCAACACAGATTTTTTTTATATTCCATGCACTCACGTCTCGTTTACGATACAGAACGTCAACATTCTTAACGCTCGTATTACGTGATTTCGATAGATACTAATGAATATGTTCTGCCATCTTAAATGAAATATAAATATGTAAAAAACAATCACTTACCTTGTGAAGCTGCTGGGTAGATCATTGGGATCTTAGAAAAACTATAAACACGAATGCACCCTAATTACAAGACAACACCGTCAGCGAGTAAATAATGAAGCCGAAGTATGTGTTTTCTTCAGGTTCGGAACATTAATAGATAACGCTTGTGTTTGTTGCTTAGCCTAGTCCTTAGAATTTTATGAAAATACCACATTTAATGGTTTCCTTGTTAATATGACGATTAAAACCCTCAGGGAAAGACCCCAGCACATATTAATTTATATGTCGTGGCACCAACAGACAACTCCACCTGAGCACAAAGAAAGTCAGCGAGACACGAAATATCAGGTCAGATGTTATTTTTTTCCTCCCATTAGCGCATTGCGTTAAAATATTTGGTTGAGTTTATCTTCGTGGCCCCAGTTGTTGAAGTTATCCGCTAGCTTTCGGCTCCGTCACTCCTCAAATTAGTTAGCTCCCTGTTTAATTCAAGTTCTTGTAATTACAATTTTCCATCTGTTCACGTCAGTCATCAATTTATTTAGGGGTTTGCTTCATTCTTTCAACGACATTGAACTGAAAGAATGGAATTCCGAAATTAAACGGTTTGAAAATTTCACCGTAGCAGCGTACTGTACAATGGCAATGGTATTACACATTCAAGGTACACGTGGATTGGCAATCTCGGGTTTTGGCCGAATAGTTTAATTTATAGACACAAGGTCTGTGGATTACCTTCCGAATCCTTTTCAAACATGTTGCAATGCACTTTGTGCTGCGCTTATCTCAATGGCCAAGGGCCATGTGTTTTACAAGTTGCTCCAGATGTTGCTTTCGAACATTAAAAGCATAATATTTCTTGCTGATCAGTATTCCAGTGCAATGAGGCACTCATCTAATGTCCAAGTTTATGAATGACAAACGGGCATTTTTTTACTTCCAACAGACCCAGTTGAAGAATGGACCCCGACCACAGCTCTCTTGATGTATCATCTCCTGCACCGTCACACAACCACAGCTTGATCTCTATTGATAGAGGCCTTGGTGTTGTTGAGCTCGATTCACATGTGGGGGAGTTGGACTCGTACAACATGATAGAGCCTCCTCCTTTAGAGTGGAAGTCTGACTCCTCCACTGAGGCTGGGTCAGCAGAAGACCTGGACGACGGCAGCTTCCTCTCTCCTTCTGGCTATCTGGAAAAGGCCAGCTCAGATGAAGTCCATGTGAACGGCACCCTGGCTTCACCTGATGTGAAGCAGCAGGAGCTTGTGGCAAACAGCACAGAGTTGAAAAAGGAGAAGAAAGTTGAAGTTGAAGTGGAAGTGGAAGTTGAAGTGAAAGAAGATGTGGATAGCATTCAACAGAGAGCACATGATGCAAATGCGCAGGATGAAGAAGCTAACCAAATACAAGGCGATGAAGACCACACCCGTATCCAAACATTGCTCTGCCAACTTCAGATGATGGGGGAAGAAGCTCACACTTGTCCCAGAACACCGCCTTGCCTCACTGAGTATCCACACTCGGGTCCCTGTGATCTTGAGGAATGTTCTTTGTTATCAGCCTTACCAGAGGACAGCACTGAAACCACTGGGTTGTTGTTTTCTGAAAGCAACCAGAGAGATGTGTTGGGACTGCTGCAGTGCACAGACATCAGCGCTAAGCTGCATCACAGCTGCCATCCCCTCAAAGGAGAAATGGATGCCGTCGTGTCCGTTTCTTACAACCAGGAAGACGCCCAGAGTTTCTGGGGGCCGCATGGGAATAATCAACAGCAGCCATACAGGGAAGAAGGCTCGGTCAACTTGCTGCCTGACACTGACTTTCTTGAGCCGGTATGGGTGAAATTGAGGGAAGAGGGACAAGAGGGGGAGGTTTCTGCAGAGCACGAGCAGGTTGGTCTAATTATAACTGTCACGAGAAGTTCATTTAGCATATGAAGTAATGACAGAAAACCGGTCTGTTTGCTTGCTTTATTTATGCAAAGACCACATTTTTCATCCAATGTTAGGGCAGTTTTAAAATTGTTTGGTAAGAGGATATTGAATAATTGCTTTTTTCCCCATGTGGTATACTTAATGATAATACAGTACTGTAATGTGTTGCTGTCCGTCTGAGGTTGTATAGATGAGTATTTCTAAGTAAATATATTATAATAATATAGTTATGTGTGGCGGCCCGGTGGTCCAGTGGTTAGTGCGTCGACCTCACAGTGCAGAGGTCGTGGGTTCGTCTTCCTGTGTGGAGCTTGCATGTTCTCCCTGGGCCTCTGTGGGTTTTCTCCGGGTACTCAGGTTTCCCCCACATATTCCAAAAACATGCATGGCAGGCTGATTGAACACTTTAAATTGTCCCCAGGTGTGAGTGTGAGCGCGGATGGTTGTTCGTCTCTGTGTGCCCTGCGATTGCCTGGCAACCGGTTCAGGGTGTCCCCCGCCTACTGCCCGAAGACGGCTGGGATAGGCTCCAGCACCCCCCGCGACCCTTGTGAGGATAAAGCGGATCGGTAAATTAATGGATGGATGGATAATTATGTGTTGATAGGTAAAATATTTAAAATCATTTGTAATATAACTTAGACTCTTGTACTGAATTGTTTCTAATAATGACCAGAATTGGCTTTGACCGAGCAAATAGATAAGTTACCGAATCAGAAATCGCTTCCTAATTATTAATTATCTCAAGTGCTGATTGCAGTCTGATTCTGTTGTTATTACAGGATGCCGATGATCAGCCTTCATACAAAGATGGTAAGTCTTAATTAATGATTTTGACAACGGAGCGGCCGTACAATGCGTATTTTGTGCCTTTCCTTCAAGTGCCAAATTAGGGAACAGGTCATTCTAAAAGCTGTGTACTGTATTGTGTTCTTGTCGTCGCTCGGAAAATTTGTCAGAAGTGCTATTTTTGTAATAAAAATACAAATTGTGGGAGCACAGTAATTGAAGAATTATTTTTCACACATCATATTATATGTTACCTTGTGATGTTGTAATTGAAGCAATGTACTAGAATTAGAGTTGCCCCCATCATTTGATCGGAAATCAGGACGGATCACGTGATTTTCAACTCATCATTATAGGATTTTTTTTCTCAATTTCTATCCAGACGGTATGTACTTAGCTCTATATTTTTGATCCTTCTGTACTCTATATTCGCAGCAATGCTCCACCAAGTCAGCAGTCTTGAATGGCTCCCTTTGTGACAAACGCAATCACACCATTTTAGTGCCTTTACCTTCCAGTGCCTGGTCCATGTGACCCTGAAGACCTCTTAGATGGAGTCATATTTGGTGCAAAGTACCTGGGCTCAACACAGCTCAAGTCGGAGAAGAACCCATCTACAAATGCCCGTATGGCACAGGCTCAGGAAGCGGTGGACCGCATTAAGGTAAACTCCTCTGTGGGTTCATGCTGTACTGTAAATCTTAACACTTTGCTAGATGACATCAGCTGTTCATTTCAACATAAGGCAATGACTTCCAACCGGCGTGCCGGGGCACATTACTGTGCCGTGAGAGCTCTAATGGTGTGCCGCGGGAAATTGTCAAATTTCACTTAATTGGTGAGAAAATTATTTGTTAACTATAAATAATGTAGCTTTGTCCATCTATTTATGCCAGCAACTTATGGTGATGTAAAGAACAAATAAATGATATTCTATAAGATGACAAAAAGTATGAAATTGGCATATTAATCCTTTTTGTGACAATTTTGTTTGGCGGTGTGCCGTGCAAGTTTTCAAACTTAAAATATGTGCCTTGGTGCCAGCAAAGGTTGGGAATCACTGGTCTTGTTATTCATTCATTCTAATTTCTTTCAGGCCCCAGAAGGGGAATCCCAGCCAATGACCGAGGTGGATCTGTTCATCTCCACTCAGAGGATCAAAGTTCTCTCTGCTGACACACAGGTGCGATTTCCCAAATGTTTTTTTTTTTTTTTAGCAAACACGCTAACCAAACAGTTACCCTCACATTTTAACACTGCAAGTCTTGTAAGTATTTAAATACTTCAGTATTTTGTCGCTAAACAGAACAATTGACAATCTATTATTCATGTCGTCACGATCTGGCAGAATTGTCATCGCTCCAAAATCACTACTTTTCAACGCTTATTTCTTGAGTTACCCCAACGCCGCATCATGAACGCTGGTTTTATACTTTACCTTACTGATCCCCAGGCCTCACACTTAAGGAGGGGGCATCTTACTTCTTGTAATCGATTATAGATGTTCAGCCAGTTTGAAGGGAAACCAGACTTAATTGTCCGATTTTCAAGAAAATGTTCCTTTTGTGTGTCCTGTGTCCACCCAGGAGGCCATGATGGATCACTCTTTGCAGATGATTTCTTACATCGCGGATATTGGAGATATCGTGGTACTGATGGCACGCAGGAAGCGAAAAGGGCAGGAAACTGCCTCATCTTCATCCTCATCTTCCTCCAAGCCTCAGAAGTGCTTAATGATCTGCCACGTCTTCTCCTCTGTGGATGTGAGTTTGTTCTTTACATGGAAACATTTAGACCTTGTACTGTATTCCTGTTGTTGTATTTATCTCCACCACAAGCAAGGATGCTTTGAAAGCAGTTTGTATGTTGGTTACATTGCTTGTTACGAGGTTAGGTTATCCTGTTAACACATAAATTACACAATCTTAGGCCCACCGGACAACGACTGATGCAGAAGAACCCGACTGAAGTGTCATGCAGTGGGCCGGTGGTTTTTCTGCAATTCCAAATTGAAATGGCTGGTGAATGGCATTGCA